GGAGCTGCTTTCCTGAGCGTTATGGATGTGCTGAGGGACTGGGGGGGGTTGCTCAGCTTACCTGGCCTCCCCTCCTTTTTATAGCCTGGAAGATTTACGGGGCATTCTGGAGAGATTTGGGTTATACCTGTGTTGTTAAAGCAGCCATCAGTGGAAAATCAGGTGATGAGAAAGCTGATTAAAATCCATAAATAACCCCAGTATCACCCTATCCATGGGATGTACAAGTGACAGACAACGTGCCCCTTCAGCTCTGCAGAGCACCACTACAACAAATGCTCTGGAGCCTCCTTTTTCCCTGGTAGATGTTTCTATAAAGCCAAAAAGTCCCTCCATAACGACTTGGAGAACAAGGTAGAGGCTGGGAAATGACATTGTTACAATGACAAATATTCTCTGAATCCCCAATTCATGATCCTGGGCGCCTTATAAATGTGATTAGTAGATGTAATCTTGCTGTGCTGGAGCCAGTTGTCAAGACAGCTTGAAAATGGATCGTTGCCCGACTCTGACTTCAACTGGTCCCCAAGTTCTAATAGTTATTGTTTTAAATAGTTGATTTTAAATAGTTAATAGTCACTGTTTAAAAACTAACCAGGAGTTGGGGTCTGCACACCCTTCCCTGGGGCACAAGCCAACCTGAGGCTGGGGAGGGGGGAACTGCAGGTGATCCCCTAAAACAAAGGCTAAAACAACCCTAAAACATCCTCTAAAACAACCGTCTTGGGGTGCAAATAGTATAGATCTATGTGCAAAAAATCCTTCAGGTGGTCCCAGCTAGGTCAGCCTCCGCTCTGGAATATCTGTCCATCTGCCTGTCCATCTGTCCATCCGTCCTTTCCATGTCAGTTGTTGGGGTTTGTTGTTTCCCTGCACCTCACAGCAGGGATGGAGCAGCCCTGGACAGTCCCTGCCCATGTCTCAGCTCCCCCCACACCTGAGACATGGACAGGGAACTGGGAAAGGAGGGAATGAGCCCTGGGAGAAGGCGAAGCAGCGCTGAGAGCCCTTGGCTCTGGGCAGGCCTCCTCTCATGCTCTGATTTTGGGTCCCCTCACTTGGGACACTGTCATGGGGGCACCCCAGGGGCCTGGCTGCCCCAGAGGAGATTCCCACACGAGCCTCTCTGGGTGCTGTGGGACCTGCCAGGCACGAGGTTTGCTGCAAATGAGCTGCAAAGGCAGGAGAGGAAGATTTCCAAAGGCACTCAAGTGCTTGTGGGTAGCTGGGACGGTTCCAGCCAGGTTGTCAGAGCATCCCAGTGTCCCCCAGGGCTGGCAAAAACCAGGATAAGCCCCGAGAGTCCCTGGCTCCCCAGGGGTGAGGCAATTCCTTTGCTGGAGGCAGCAAAGCACTGTTTGAGGCATCAATCTGAGTGCTGGGAGTCTCTGAGGTGCATCTGATGCCTTCACCCAGGATTTCCTGCGGCATCCCACTGGGAACGTCGTTGCAGAGCAAGCTGGTACTGCTCGAGCTTTGGCGTTTTTGGGGCAGCCTGGATGGGGTGAAGGCCTTTGGGACATCGTGAGAGAGTCCCCAAAGTCACACCCGCCTTCCCAACCTGCCCAAACAGCCCCCACCCGCCCCAAAGCAGCGCCTGGGACGACCAGACCAGCACGGGGGAGGCTTTGAGCGTATCCAAGATACAGCGGGATTTGGGCACCCTGTCAAATGTTCTCATTGTCTGACCCTTGTCCAGATGCCAGTAAAACCCTTTGGGAAATTCCCCCTCCACCCAGAGCACCGGCTTTAATTACAGAAGAGGAATGTGAGGCGCAGAGCGCTGCTCCTCCTGCCTGCACGCTCGGCCGAGCGCGGGACGTGTCCCCAAAGTTTGGGGTCTGGGAGGGTGGAGGGCTTGGGGTTTGGAGAGGAGAGGTAGAGGGAGCACGGGGAAGGACAGGAGTGGAGGTGGGCACTGGGTGCCTGGTGCTGGTGGGACACTTCCCAAGCCCAGGGTGAGGAGCGGGGGCTCGTCCCCCCCGTCCCGCCCTGGCAGCAGTACCCGAGCAGCAGGACATGAGTAATATCCATCCCACTGGGGGAGTTAGATCAAAGGCACTGAAGTAGATACAAGAGGTTTCTGCTTCACAGACCAGAGAGGCTGCAGTTCAATAGCGCCTTTGTTACCGGCTCTCCCGAGCCAGGGATGGAGAAATACCTGACCCCCCGCTCCCTCCCTCCCTCCTCCCTCCCTCCCTCCCTCCCTGCGCTCCCGGCCCCTCGGTGCTCAACCATCTCAAGTATGTGCCCGCGCAGAGAGGCTCGGCGGGACGCGGGGTGCTGGGGATGGCAGCGGGAGCAGCCGGCAAGGGGAGGGCTGGGAGACCCCCCCCGCAGCCAGGCAGGGCTCGGGGAGGTGGGAGTGACCCCCCCCATCCATCCCTGGGCATCCGCTGCCCGAACATCCCCGGGCTGTGCCGGCAGGGACCAGGGGAGGACAGGACGGTGCGGGCACTGCCATCCCGAGCCCAGGGATGGCTGGCACGGGGCCCTTCCCGCGGAGAGGATGCCGCGCTGCCAAAGGTGAGGTCAGCGGTGCTCGGCTGGTGGCTCCGGGCTGTCCTCGGGCCCCTGCGGTGTGGAGTGGGGATGGTGGCTCTGGGATGGGCACGTGGCCTCCTGTTCCCAGGCTGGGAAAGGCGGCCTGGCGCTGAATTGGGCGCCAACTCCTCGGGAAGGTCTTGGGGTGCCCACAGGGCCATGTCCCAAAGAGCCACTGGGACAGATTTACCCCTGGAATGTGCGATGTGCAGTGAAATTGGGGCTGGTCCTCGGTGCGCCCCCAGGAACTAAAGGATGGGTCAGTGCTGGGCATGGAGGGCAGAGACCCATGTGGGGCTGCTGGCATGAACCCCCATAGCTGGAGCTTTCCAGGCAGATCTTCCCAGAGCAACAGCTGTGCCAAGGATGGAACGCTGGGAGCCAGCAATGTTGGGATACCTGTGGAGGGGCTGGAGGGGAGCGTGGCTGTGCCACAGGTGGGGGGCACATGGTGGCCTTTTTTCCTCACCGTTCATAAATGGGAGGTAAAAGAGGAAAGACCTTGGGGGCAGAGGAAAAAAAAAAACCAGTCCTGTGCTCCAGGAGTTTGGTTTGTAGGTCAGAGTCGTGTTCACTGCTATTACAAACCACAGCAGGCAGAATCCTCCCCACTTCCCATCCTGCTTGTTGTGCAGTTTTGGGAACATTGGGTTTCCCAAGGATTCTGATGAGGGCAACAAGCAAGGGAGTTTCCTGCCCTCAGCAGCGGAGCTGACCTCATCAGCTCCTGGCAATTAGCAGTCACTGCTGCTGAAGGAGCCGTGTCCTGGCACAGGGGAGGGGATAAAGGCCGAGGCCAGCGCTTTCCCAGGACAACCTGGGCAGTTTTGGTGCCACCCAGGTTGCTTCCCCAGGTGTGGGGAGGTGTGGAGGCTTTTCCACAGAGTAAGGTCTGTGCCCAGCTCTCGGGGGAGCCGCTGGAGCAGCTGCTCCTGCGAAACACATCACCTTGTCCTGGGATGCCTCTTTTTTGCGGGTAACGAGATGGAAACTCCCCCGAAAAGGCACGAGGGGGGGAAAGCAGCAGTGGGGGAGGTGAGCGGGAGGCGGGTTTGCAGCCAGACCTTTCTTTAGCCCTTTGTCTCAGCCGACAAAGGCGGGTCTGTTGGATGCACCTCGGCTGAGCATCCGCTGCTGCTGCGGCCTCAGCCAGGTGAGCTGTGGGGGCAGTGGGGCCGCGGGGAGGGGTTTGGCTCCCGCTTGTGCTGCTGAGCGACTCCGTGACTGTGGGCAAGTCCCTCTGCGGCCCCAAGGCTCAGATTTTCAAAGCAGCCCCAGGGCAGGGTACAGCTACACCCCCAAGGCAAGCGTTTTTCACCCCCTTGCTTGGAAAATGGATTTATCCCACAGATCCCAGTGCTCCTCCTCGGAAAGGGACACTTGATCTGCAGGTGGAAGTCTGTGCTGCTCCGTTTGCAGCCAGATCGACTGTCTGGTTTATAACTCAAGGTTTAGCAGGTTCATTGTGATCCTACAAAGCAGCACAAAAAGCTGTGCTGGGGAACGGCAGGTCCTGACAGAGATGAGGTGTAGCTGTGGCCGGGACACGGGGAGAGGGAAAAGAGACCATTCCACTGCTGCTCCGTGGACATCCTGCCATTCATTGTGGCTGTGACACGGTGCCTTTTAAGCATCACCCCTGCTGCTGTCCCTGCAGTCACAGCTCATTACAGCATCCGGAGCACAAAGGCAGGGCACAGGGTCCTCCTCCCGGGGTCAGGTCCCTGCTGAGGGGACAGACACGCCAGGCTTGGATCTCTCCTTGCTGACCCGTGGGTAACCCAGGAGAAGCCACCCCGCGGTGCCACGGTGATGAGGGGTGTTTTGGGTGGGAACCTACCCTATTTTTGGGGTCCCCACGCAGGGAGGGAGCGGGTTGTGCTCCCAGCTGGTCACAGGGAGGGAGGACAACTCAGCCAGAAGAGTTACTTTTTTTACCACCCTTCCTTTCCCTTTTCACCTTTGCTTTTCCCCAAAGACTGCTGGCTTATCCTGGGTAAGCCCTCTGCTGTGGTCTATGGCTTTTTATTCCTATGTGATTGCTTTCCCTAAGTCATGTAGGGCGAAAAGCCATGGGCTACACAGAGGAGGGACTCCACCTTCCAGGCACCTCCGCCGAGCGCGCACGGACTCCTGAGCCCCTTTCTGCCCACCCCTATTTCTCTGGCTAACAAACCACCAGTGAAAGGGGGCATTGAAGCCTTGCAGGGCCTTATCCAGATGGGGGTGGGGACACAAAGGGGGCTGGGGGTGGTGGGGGGCACGGCCTTTCATTGAGCGGCGCCGGGCGCTGGCCGAGGGGCTGCGAGGGCGGCGGGAGTGGCTTTTCTTTGGCAGGGAGCTTTTCTCACACGGTTCAAAGAGTCCCCACCTGCACCCCCCTGCAAGAACAAAAGGGCCAGGCAGAGACCAAGGGCATTGCCAAGGGGAAACGCCTGACCCGGCTGGCAGAGGAGGGCAGGAGCCCTTTGACGTTGAGGCTCCGCCGAGCAGGGGTGAGGAGGGGGCTGAGGGATGTCCTGGCACTTCCAGGCACATCTCCCACCATGCTGTGCCCCTGCCAGGGGTGCTGGAGACCCAGCAGAGCCTGTGGCCATGCAGTTTGCAGCAGGCAGGGTCTGTCCCCGCAGCTCCCATGAGGTCACGGCCAGGCCGGTGCCCCCGGGGATGTTGGAGGGGAGGTGGTGGCCAGGAGCACGTGGGAAGGACAGGTTTAGTTCCACAGCAGGACTTGGCAAACTGGTGCTTTTTAAACGGGCAAAGGCAATGTCTGCGAGCACAGAAACCTGTCAGGGCTGGGCTGGATCCACGGGGTGGGAGAGAAGGGTGCAGATCCCGCTGCCACGGGCCCTGTTCCTGCAGATCCCATCACCACAGCCCCCATTCCTGCAGATCCCATCACCACAGCCCCCATTCCTGCAGACCCCCCCACCACAGGCCCCATCATTACAGACCCCATTCTGCAGATCCCATCGCTACAGATCCCCCTGCCACAAACCCCATCACTCCAGACCCCACCACTGCATCCCCCACCACCCCCAGGACCACCTGACCGGCGCTGGGGGATTCCAAACCACCTTGCCAAGCAGGAAACGAGCAATTCCTCCCTTCTTTTTTGGTTTTTTGTGTTTTTTTTTTTTTTTTCTTTTCTCACTTCCTGAGCTTTGAGTCATTAGGTGTCAGGCTTTCAAGTTTATTTCACCAGCCTGGAATGCATCTTTAAAAATAATAGTCATTGAAAAAAACTGAAAGCTGAGATTCAGCTGTAATCCCATGACTCAAGGAGGTGTGGAAGGAAGAAAATCACGAAATCCCATGAGTTCCAACAATGAAAGCATGAGAGCTGGCAGGACTGTGCCACATAAATCATCAAAACTAAACACCATCCGTCAAAATGAAAGGAATTAAGCCAATCTCACCAGGCTGTTTTAATTATTTTTTAATGAGGATTTGCTCATTCAGAAAATTCACCCCTGACAATGCCTGCCCCGAGCCATTCACGCCGGGCAGGGTGGACACGCTTGGCTTGGCCCCACCACCCCCACCCCGGGGCTGCTCTGGGATGGGGAGCACAGAGGAGGGTGCCAAGGAGGGGAGAGTAGGGCAAATTACCCAAAACCACACCGGGAGTCCTGGTTTTGTTGCAGTCCAAACACTAGCCCTGGTTTTGTTGCAATCCAAAATGCTGCGGCGGGGAAGTCATGAGCAAAATCCTCCTTCCTGGATGGTCCCTGTTGTCATCCCAAACATTCCCAGAATGAGATTTGGGTCTTAAAGCTCACCTTGTTCCACCCATGGCAGGGGACACCTTCCACTAGCCCAGCTTGCTCCAAGCTGGCCCCTTGGACACTTCCAGGGGTGAGGAAGCCACGACCACCAGCCCCTGTTAATATTTCGGTGGCTGCTGGGCGAAAGCAGCTCCGAGCAGGATTATTGGCAGCCTGTCTGCGCTCTGCCAGCGAGCTCCTCCAGCCCCCAGACCTGCTCTCGCTACCTTTCATGCTATTGATTTTTCCTTTAGCAAGGCAGGCACGAGGCACGGAAGGGGCAGAGGGAGCACAACCCGCTGTGCTTCCCGGGGAGCGGCTGGGATGGGAAGGATTGGAGCGGGCACGTCCGTCTGGTGGTCAGGGAGCCGAGGCTGGGGGCTTTGTGCCAAATCTTGCCCTTCTCTGCCAGCCCCAGCGCCCCCCAGGCACTGCCCAAGGAGCTTTAGCAGAGAGATTTGTCCTGAGGTTTTCTGTCTGCTCCGTCCTCAGGGACACCTGAGGGGACGCGCACGGGACGAGCGTTCCCATGAAAGCCCTGCCGTGCAGAAGGCATTGGCAAGGGACCCCTGGCAAAGGTCCAGAGTGAAGAGGAGATGCTGCCAGCACCAGGTGAGCTCTCAGCCTGTCTGGCATCCACCTCCCAGCAGCAGCTCCAGTCACCTTTCAATTAGCGCAGCCCTGCGATCGCTGCCCACGGCCAGGGCTGGCCACAGCCAAGCCCCTCGGCTGCCCTGGGTTATAAAACACTCATGGCATTGAGTAAAACAGGGGACCAGCTTGGGACTCTCAAAGCATCGTGGAGAATTGAGGCACGCAGCTCTTTTAGGGAGGCAGAGATCAAAATCCCAGCTCATCCTGTGGCTGGAAAGAAAGAGGCTTGAGGACGAGCCACCCAAAGGCAGCTCTGTGTCCAAAGCCACCCAGCCGGACCCCTCCAGCATTCCCTGGTCCTTCCCGAGCTCCCAGGAGCGAATGTGCAGAGCAGGACGAGTTGCTAATTACAGATAATAACTGCCATTAATGAATGAGGCATCCACCTGGCCAGGCCTCTTCCTGGCGCTGGGCGTGGAATTCCCATATCCCAAAGCCGGGTGAGGCACAGGCTTGTCCAAGGAGGGGGAATCGCAGCCTCATGCCCCGACACGGAGCTCCTGTGCTGCTGCATCAGCCCCTGGACACCCCTCGTGGCAGCACAAGCAATTTTGGCTTCAGGCACGTGAAGCCACAGGGCACCAGCTCCCAAAAACTGCCGAGGATTGGGATGGGGTTTGTCTCTGATGATGATTCGAAAGAGCACCGCCTTCCTCCTGGGTTACCCAGCTCGGCGAGTGCCGGTCCTGGGAGATAACCGGGGGAAAGTGTGCCAATTATTGATATTTTAATTACAGCCGGATGATAACGAACTGGAAAGCTGCAGCTTTTAATCAAAGCTGTGACAGCACCCAGCCCTGGGAGGGTTGGTGGACACCATGGGCTGCAGCACTGGGACCTTCCACGGGGGGAAATGATGCTCAGTGGGAGCCTGGGGGTCATTTTAAAGCTCAGCCTTGGCACAGGATGCCCTGAGAAAGGGCAGGGCATTAAAACCCACACCCTCCAGAGGCAGCCCCAGCCGTGCAGGGGGTTGAGGCGTGCCAGGGTATGTGACACTGTCACTGGGTATTCACCTTTAGCATCAGAGGGATCAGTTCCTTGAGTGCTGATCCCACACGAAATCCAGGTCACTCAATCTTTTGGGAAAACCCACCCCCCCACACACACACCCACCAGCTGCCCGGGGGCTGGGGGAGGTTTACACAGACAATTCACCAACGGGACAAAAAGAGCCAAATCCGGGGCTTGCCGGGAATTCTTTATTCAAGCTCTGCCCTGGGCGGGGAATTACGGATGCACCAGTTGTGCCACCGAGCACCTTCCCCCTCCCGTCTGCTTGGAAATGGGTTATTTAGTAACTGGTGAGGCCACCGGTGCTGAGTCAGCCCGCAGCTAATGAACACCCCGGCTGCCCATTTGAAATTTATTGCACCTATTAATTACAACCATTAGCTGCAGCCAGTGAAATTTTTATAATGAGGACCCTTGCGACTTTGCCTTCCTAGCAGCAAATTAACTGTGTGGGGGGAAGAATCAATGGGATCAGCAGACTTTACAGAAGCGATGTTTTAATTAGTGATTCTCTGCAAACATGCCAAGCAACATCTTCTCCGTTCATTATCTCTCCTTAAAGGGATGGTGCTTCTTTTCAGGTTGGTTTTATCCCGGCCTCAGCCTCTCTGTTGTTGGGTTTCTAATGCACTGCTGCTCATTATAGAGGCTGCTTTGAAGTTGGGTTTAGCTTAGGACTGGTTGTAAGCAGCGAGATGTCCGAGGTTGGTGGGGGAAAATAAAAAGCAACCCCGGGAAATAATGAGTTTGAAAGCTTGGCTGGCAAATAGCTCAATTGGATGGATTCTGTGGCTGGCAGGAGGAGGGTGAGGAGTGTGGGAAAGGGGTTGTGTCCACACAGGGATGGGCTCTGGGATGCGGGACCTGAACCTTGGGATGCTTAAAAATGGAAGGGACCAAAGTGTCTCCCAGGCAAAGCTCTGTCCGTGCCTGGAGCATCCACATCACCCAGGACTTCCAGGCTTCTGAAGAAAGCCCTTGCAAGTCCCAACCATGTCTTTGGGGACTCTTCCAAGGGTGTCTGCTCAGTGGATCTCAGAAAGCCAGGCTGGTGATCCCCAAATCATCAGTCACTCCTAAAAATCTCATCTGTGGCTGTGTCTGGACCAGCCATCCCGAAAGGCAAGCGAAACAAAATACCTGGGAAGTTTTCTACATTTCATTACAAATTATTTAATTCCATTCGACTCCCTGCAAAAATACAGGAGCAATTTCCATTGCAAATGATCTCATTTCCCAGGGAGAAAGCCCCGACACACGCCCGGCAGCAAAAGGCAGCCTTGAAATTCAGGGTTTCAAATGCAAAACTTGTTGGTTTTTTCCTCCCTCCCGAAGAAGAAGTCGCTAAAAAGTTAATTCAAAAAGTCAATTCAGAAATAGAAAAGCTGAGGCAGGGGAAGGAAATGGGCTGGAAGGAATGGAAGATCCTGGTGCCTGAGCATCCCAGCCCTGGGTCTGGTGCCCGCTGATGGGCAGCACCTTCCTGTCCCCTGCAGCAAGGCTGTGCTGAGCCCTGCCTGCACCCCTGCCTGCTCCCCTGCCTGCTCCCCTGGCTCTCCCTGCCCAGCACCTTCCCTCCTGAAGCTGCTCCTGCTGCCCAGCCGATCCCAGGGACACGGGAATCGCCGGGCTAAGGCACAGACTCCGTCCAGCTGGTTCAGAGAGACATTTTTTAGGGCTCAGGGAAAGTGCCATTATTAAAGTGAGCATGCTGATTGCAGACAGCTCCCAATTCATCACTGTGACAGTGACAAACACGGCCTGGGGTTATGCAGTTGACTAAAGAGAATTCTCCAGCTTTACATTTTTAATGCTCCTCGCATTTTCTCTGCTGCAGCCGGAGTTTTATCCGAAAGGATCTTCTGCCTTGAATAGAAAGGGCAGCACAGGGGGCTGGTGGAGCATGCCCAGCCCTTGCAAATCAGGCAGGGCTTCTGTCAGCGCTGCCCAAGCCAGTTCATTTATTTTTTTAATTATTCCTTGCTCCTTCAGGATCCTTTTTCCACCTTTTCAAGAAGAACAGGAGCGTCGGCCTCAGCTGGGCTGCCTCCATTCTCCGGGGCTCATTCATCATTGTCCCCCTCCTGAATGGGAGGCAGAGGGTCAGCCTGAAAAGCCTCCCTGGTACAAGCTCCTCTAAATATATCAATAGGTGCCTAAATGGACGGTGGGGTCCCAGCCAGACCGCCCAGGCTCTCGGGGAGGCTTTGTGTCTGCGTGGGGGGACAGCCAGGCCGGGCACGGCGAGGTTTTGGGGTGGCACAGGGGGCACCCCTGGGGACCCCCGGGGGCTGCCTGGGAGGTCTGGGGTCTGCCTGGTCAACAGGGGAGGTGTTGGACGGCAGGGACGGTGCTGTTGGGGTGGTGGGCGAGGGAAACATTTCAAAACCCGGCTGAGGTGGGGTTGGAGCAGACGCCCACCCCAAAACAGGCTCCCCCTCCCCATCGCCCCTTCCCCATGCTCTGCTCCAGCTGGAGCCGTGCAAAGCCGGGAGGACTCAGGGGTGGGAGGTGAGAGAGCCCCCCCCCTCCTTCACCACCCCTCAACCCCCCCTCCCCACCAGCCGTTCCCTCCAAAATCCCATTCTCAGGCTGGCAACAAAAAAAGCAGCAGCACAAAGGGAGACGCCGGGACCTGCCGCTATGCTGGGAAGCCATTCAGAACGGGAGGCTCATTAAAGAGCCCGTTGTCATTATTTGTGAGCTCCAGAGGTAGCCTGATTTAATTTGGGAGCTACCAGACAGGTACCCAGATGGCTGGGGATGGAGGAGGAGCGGGGGGAGCAGCGGCAGAAGTGAATTAAATGGGATGTTTCTCGCTTTGTGCTGCAGCTGGGCCCCCTTGGAAAGGGGGGAAGTGGAAAGGCAGGGATGTGGCATCACCCCCCTGCACCATCACCGCTGGTGGGGAGCTGAGGGGTTTGGCTTTTGGCTTTGGCTTTCTTCCCTTGGGTAATTCCCTCTCAGCTGTCCCTGCTGGGAATTAGGGCTGCTCCAAACTCCAGTGGGGGTTTGGAGGGTCGTGGTGCTGAGGGTGTGCCTTGCTGGGCAGTGCAGGGCCGGGCACAGCTCCCTCTGAAGCACCAGCACTGCCTGCTCTGGGGCAAAATCAGGGCTGGGCACTGCAAACTGTACAAAAACTCATCCAGAGAAGCTGTGGCTGCCCCATTCCTGGAAGTGTCTGAGGCTGGACAGGGCCTGGAGCAACCTGGGCTAGTGGAAGGTGTCCCTGCCCATGGCAGGGGCTGGAATGGGATGAGCTTTAAGGTCCCTCCCCACCCAAAGCAGTCTGGGATTCTATTTTTTTTTTCTGAGAAAAGCTAAAAATTCGAGTAGGGAGCAAACGAAGGTCTCGCTTCAGACGGAATTTCTGCACGGATTTGTTATTTATTTAAAAACCCCCAGCCTTTTTCATTTGCATAATTACATTTTGCAGCTGTTGGGCCATCATGTGGGCTGTGCTTTGGGGCATTATTTTATCTGCTGCAAACGGACACAAAGAGAGGGAACCGGGAGAGCTCAGCTGAGGCTCTTTGTGCCAGAACCTTCGGTGCTGCCCCCGTGCCGGGGCTGTCCCAGGGCTCCTCACCTCCCAGGCCCTCCATATGCAGCAGGAGCTGCAAGCTGTCCCCACGTCTGTCCTGATTGTTCCCTGCTTGGGAGGAGAGGGGCTTGGTGGGGGGGGGAGTTTTAATCTCCTTGCCTTTGGCCGGCTGGGGAATTTGGGAGAGCGTGGCTGGGGGGAGGGAGGAGGGGGGAGATGTGCTGCTGCTGCAGGGGACATTTCCCGGTTTTGTGGGTTTGGGGGTCTGTTCTACACCCTCCATCCTGCCTGTGCCCCCCCCCAGGAGCTGCCCTGACTGCTCTCCCTGTCCCCATCCAGGTTCTCCCGGGGGTGCTCCCGAGCCTCTCCTGCTCCGGGGGATGCCCCAGTTCACCTTTGCTTGCTTCTGTGGGCTCCATGGCTTCTGCAAGATGAAGAGGAAGAAAGAAGAGTCCAGTGCAGAGCAGGAGACGGCCGTGTGAGGAGCAGACCCTGCCGAGCTGTGCCTCGGGACCCCTCCTCGTCCCCTCGGTACTGCGGGGCCTGGGGGCAGCACGGGGTGGGGGGGAGCTGCTTGACCTCCTCTAACCTGTTTCTCCTCCACCTTCTCTCATTTTCTCTTCCCAGGCCACGGGGATGACCTTGCTGGGAGGCAGAAGCAGAGGCTGGGGGTGTCACCCCGGTGCTGCAGCAATCCCACCCGGACACCCCGCCCTGCCGGGCACTGAGCCCCCAGCACCCCAACACTCGGGGTCAGAGGGTCCCTGCACCCCAGGGGGATAGACATTTCCCTCCTGGACAAGCCAACCTGCCCCTTGCTCCAGCAAATCTCAACACACAGACCTGGAAGGGTTTCAAAAGCTGGGGCCAGGCCTTGGGGTCCCGGTGCTGGGCAGGGTTGGCCCCTGGCTGGTAAGTTGTCCAGCTGCTGCAGGACTGGCTGAAGGCAGAAAACGAGCTGGTTTGGGGTTTGTTTCTCTTCCTAAAGTCTCAAGCAATTGTCTGTGACTCCAAGAAGCCGTTCTCCGTGCCTCTGCTCCCATGGCTGCAGCACCCTGCAGTGTTTTGGAGGCACCAGACACACGGACCCTGCTCGGATGCCTCTCCCCATGGGACCAGTGCAGACCAGCAGCTCCCACCCCACGGGCAGGGGGGACACCTCAGGGTGTGAGCCCACCCCCTGCCCCCTGAGCCGTGAGGCTCAGCAGGAGGTTGTTCTTTTTTGGCGGCCAGGACCAAAGCCCTGAGCTTGGGGCACCTGAGATCCGTTCCAGGGACATTTTCTCCGGGGCAGAAATCCTTCAATTCTTCCATGCTGCGCTTCCCACCTCCCTGTGGAGACCCTCTGAGCCTGGGGCCAAAGGCAGCGCCCAGGATTGCTGGGCAGGAGCTGCTCTTCCCCAGGGCTAGTCCTGCTCCTGCCACCACCTTTGCTGTGGTGGCCGTGCCCACGAACCCCCTTCCCCCCCCACCCCGTCCGTCTGTCCTCCCCACCCTCTGCTAAAGCCATACAGGGGCCCCCTGCATGCTGTGCCTTCCCCAGGGGACTCAGGCAGACATTCCCACTGGGATACCCTCCAAACAGCCCCAGGGGCTGCACGTGGGAGAGCTGGAGAGTGTTGGTGAGCCCGGGTCTCCTGGGGTTTGGGTCTCGGTGACAGCTCCCCCATCCCTGAACACGCACAGGGTTTGGGTCTCAGTGCCCAGTTCCCTGTCCCTGAACACACCCAGCCTTCCCATTCGGGCACCAGCAGCTCCCATTTGCTGGAGAGCAGCAGGGACAGCCCCTGGAAAGGGTAAATGCTTGGGGGCAGCCGGTTGGCACAGGGGGGGGATTGACTTTGAACCCCCTGAGGAGCCCCAATCATGGGGATGAGCACCCTTGGAGCACAAATTCTCCCCCATGGTTAAGTGGCTTGACCTTTCCAGGGTTTTCCCAGTGCTCCCAGACCCACACTCGGCCAACAGAGCTGTCTGTGCCACTGACAGCTCCCTTAGGAGCAGATCTGTTGGCTCAGCCAACATCCAGGACCAACACGGCTGTTATTTTATTTTCTTATCCAAAGGATTTAGCACAAAAACCTGAGCTTGGCCAGCAGTAACAGCACAAAGGTGCAGCTGAGGAGCTTTAAATCCTCCCTGCTGGGTGCCTGTTTCCCAGGAAGCAGCTGACTGGGGTGGGATGTGCTGGGAGGTGGCAGCCAGGGGAGGACACCGGGCAGGGGGACACGGGTTATGTGAGGTCTCTGTGTGTCACACCCGGGCTGGGGCAGCTCAGGACACTTTGCTCTTTCCCCTCCTTGATCCCAAGCGATGTGAGCTGTGGGATCCAGTGGTGGAGCCCCCCAGAAGTGTTCCCAGGTGGGTATTTCCCAGCTGGACTCCAGGCTGGGCTGGGATGAGCTGGGAGCTGTGCAGACATAGTGCATGACCACAGGATGGGTTGGGTTGGAAGGGACCTTAAAGCCCACCCAGTTCCAAGCTCCCTGAACACACCCCGCACACGCCACGCACACCCCACCCGTGCTGTGTGCCTGCTCAGGTTTTTCCCTGTGTCTCGAACATTCCTGTCTCCAGAGAGGGGTTCCCAAGGCTGGGAAGTTCAATGAATGTAGCACGTAAAACCCAGACAGGCAGACGCTCGCCCACACCCATTATGTGTGCATTTGAAAACGGGAACAAACCAACCAGGAGCCGTGTGAATGTTAAAGCCGCTCGAGCCGTAGTTTTTATTTTCGAAGAGAATTTCCCACCTCCCTGGGTGGATGCAGCTCTCAAAGAAGCAACAATATGTTTTCCACCATGTCCCCGAGCAAAATGGTTTGCTCCTGGATTGACCTCTATTGTGTTCGTAAACGGCTCGTGGTGCTTTTTGATTCCCCCCCTCCCATCATAACGACTTGACCTCCAGATTTATGGCTGAAGGTCTTTTCATCTGCACGTTGTTCCCCCACCAGACCGCAGCCTGACGCTTTTCTGGAGCAAACCTGCCAAGAGCTGAGCCCCTCAGAGCCCCCCATCCTCCCACTGGCAAATCTGCAGCAGGCAGAAGCGAATGGATTTGTTTCTCTCTTTCCCGTGGCAGCGTTTTAATAGGGCAGCGTCTGCTCCGAGCCTGCGAGGGCTGGGATGTGACAGCTCCTGTCACAGAACGCTCCCTCCCCGTCTCCTTCTCTCTTCCCCCACGTTTGCACAACCCCTGGCGTTTTTAGAGACTCGGAGTTTGCTTCTTTTCCCGGGTTTCCTCTTGCTCTCCTTGCCCTTTGGCTCTTCCAACCCCAACTTTCGCTTCTCTGCTCTGGAGTCTCCCGGACCTGAGCGATGCTGGAGCAGATAAATCTTACTGACTTACTAACTATCATCCAGTAGTTCCCAAGTGCTTTTCCAAGGTTTTTCCATCCTCTGGAGAGGGGAAGGAAGGTGCAGGGAGCTCCCTGGGCTTGCTCACTGAGGCTGCAGAACCCCTCCTGACCTGGCTCTTCCTGGGGCATCCCTGGGGAAGGGGGGCAGGAAGGTGTGAGGTGTCCTCCCCATCACGAATCCAGCTCAGTGTGCAGCTGGAATCTCTGCAAGTCCCCATTACCTCGCACCATGGGTTCCCAGGGTTTCTGGAGGGAGCCTCCACCTCCACCCCTCCTCGGGGAAAGGAGAGCCCTGCTCCTGAAAGATGCATTTGTTCCCACCAGCAATAATCCTCCTTTAATCCTATTACACCCAGGAAGGCATCCAAATTCCCTTGGAGCAGATGATGGGATGCACAGAGGAGGGGGCCCCTCTCTCCCTGTGGTGCCTGCCCTGGGTCCCCACTGGGGTTTGGGGGGTGGGTGCCCCACAGCTCATCCCCTTCCCGTGCTCCTCGAGCTTTTCCTCCAGTTCCAAAGGTCTGGAGTGAAGCAACGACACCCCTGGGATGGAGCAGAACATCCTCCCAAAACAGGCAGTGTGGCCCCCCCCTGGAAATTCTGGCCTCCTTGGGAGGCAAGGGAGGAGGGAAAGAGCCTGCAGATGTTTATTTGCATGGACCACAGCCAGGCTGGGGACCAAAACCTGCAGGGGGATGGTGCAGACCCCTTGAAAGATGGGCTGGGGATGGAGGGGTCCTGGGGATGGAATTGTCCCAGTAACAGAAGGGTCCTGGTGAATGGGGGGCCTTAGTGACAGAGGGATCCTGGCTTTTGAGTTGTCCTGGTGCTGGAGGGGTCCTGGGGAATGAGGGATCCTGGTGCTGGAGGGATCCTGGTGCCAGAGGGGTCCTGGTGCCAGGGGGGTCGTGCCAGAGCAGCGTGCAGGATCTGGTGTGAGCTGCAGGAATGTTTGTGCACTGAGCTGGAAGGGCACAAGCACCAGCTGGGGGAGGCAAGCCAAGGAAAAAAACTGCAGCTTGAACTCTCCATCTGGTAACACATTCTTAAAGGGTTTGCTGGGGATGTGAAAGAGGAGCAGAAAATAACCCTGGGGAGCCCGAGGCTGACGCTCCACAGCAGGACAGACTTCCACCCAAGCCATGACCTGGAGCACAATGAGCTCTGTTTGCTGCAGGCAGGGCAATCTCTGCATCCTTTGGGGGGGTAGCCAAGAGAAAAAAACCACTATTTTTCCCATTATTATTATTATTTTTTCCCCAGAAATCACCTGGTCAAAGCCATCCTTTCTCCCCTCCCACGGGCAGGATTTTCTTTCCAGCTGCTCTTGGCCTGGATGCTCATTCCAGCTGACCTCTCCGAGCTCTCCTCTCGCTCAAAACGATTTCTGGCTGCCCCCAAAACACTGCTTCTCCCAGAATGTTATTCTAAGGACAAAGCCCAGGCAGCTTTGGGCAGCTCCAGGTGGGCATGGGGGAAGCTCACGTTGTTTTGGGAAAATGCTGAGCGTGTTCTGTTCCTATTTCTGCACATCAGCAGAGCCTCCCGAGTTCAGGGTTTGCAGCCCTGGCGAGTCCTTGGCGAGGACCTTCAGATTTAGCTTTGGGCCAAAAAGAAAAGAAAAAAAACCAAAAACCCAGGGGTGTTGGTGAAACCCAAAGTGTATTTCTTGAATGTAACTTTCTTTTTGCACAAGGATTCATGGTGAGCACGGGATGGACTTTATTACCTGGGATTAATCGCTGCTCTGGAGTTTATTAAGTGTAAAGATGTGGGTCAAGCTCGACCCTTGTTTTATGCCAGTGTAAACCCAGAGAGACAATCTGACACTGAGGTGTCTCCAGAAATATTAACTAAACAGAAATGAGCTTGGACTGGACCCCAACACTCAGATTTCTCCTGTTTCTCCAGATTTTTCCTATGCAAAAACACACAAGCAACCAGCACAGGCAGGCAAAGGCAGGCTCACAGCAGGTCCTGACTCAACAAAGCCTTGCCTAAATCTCAGTGCTTGCTTTGGGATTTTGCTCCAGCCCATAAATTTTCCTGATTCCACCCGAAATAAACCCGTATTGATCCCTGACAAAGCAGGAAAGGCACAGGAGCATCCTTGCAACGTCCCCCTGATGCTGCCTAACAGGGATCAGAGCATTAAACCTCTTTGTATCGTCCTTTTTTTTTTTTTTTTTTTTAATCCCACTGCCTGGATTTCATCAGGAAAGGGAGCTGTTCCTCCTCAGGAGTCTCCCGGCCCCAGGAGCCATAGAAACCCAGTACTGTACGTTTGGGAAAATAAACGTGGCATTTGTAAATAAACACACACGTCTCTACGCACAGAGCAGAGCGCTTCCCATGGGAATTCCCTATGCTAGAGGAATATGTAAGTTAAATAAATAAATATGGAAGTGAAATAAATAAATAAATATGGAAGTGAAACAAATAAATAATGTTTATAAGAATATTTAGAGAGTGGATTTTCCAGTCGTTTGGAGATGGGGGTTTTTTGCTACAGGACAGGCTTCCTCCTTTCCTCAGCTGGCTCTTCAAAACACCCCAAAATACACCTTCCAAAGGCCCATATTCCCAGGGTTTGGAAATGGGGAAGGGCACAGTGGGCCTAAATCAGCCCCACAACAATGCCCTTCATTCCTGGGATATCAGGAAGACTCCCAGCAGAGGGCTTTGGAAGTCAGATGGAATAACCCCACACACACACATTTATTTGAGTAATTATTGGGCTTGTTAATGAGCATCTCTGGCCGGGGTTCGGCCTGAGGGGATGGAGCATCATTCTCCTGGAGGTGGAACACGAGGAGAGATGGGAGTTCCCTCGTGCTGTTCCTGCCAATCCAGCTGTGTTGCAGCTGGAGGGTCCTACTGCAAAGCTGCTCATTTACACACACAGAGGGTGCAAAGCAGAAGGTGCTGTGAAATCCAGCGCTGGCATCTTTTGTGAAACTCACTAAATATGTAAAATTCATATATAATATATAAGAATTCTACTAAATATATAAATTAGATATGAATTATAAATATATACAAGGAATATATATATAAATATGTATAGATGTATATATTTTCTATCCATGGTGACCACGTTTATAAACAAGGTGACATTCATAGGGGCAGTTGAAGTGAATTTTCATGGAATCATGGAAGGGTTTGGGTTGGAAGGGACCTTCCAGACCCACCCCCTGCCATGGGCAGGGACACCTTCCACTAGCCCAGGTTGCTCCAAGCCCCGTCCAGCCTGGCCTTGGGCACTTTCAGGGATGGGGCAGCAACAGCTTCTTTCGGCAACCTGTGCCAGGGCCTCCCCACCCTCACAGGGAAGAGTTTCTTCCTCATATCCAATCTAAATCTACTCTCTGCCAGTTTGAAGCCGTTCCCCCTTATCCTGCCACTCCATGCCATGTTAAAAGCCCCTCTCCAGGTTGCTTGTAGGCCCCTTCTCTGACAGAATGACAACGAAATAAGTGGCAAAAGCCCCCCCGCCCCATCGCCGCGGGCTGAGAGCGGCTGAGAACGGCCCAACTCATCGCACGCCACGGGTCCCGCTCCCGGCGCGGGCCCTTTAAAAGAGGCGGGGCCGGGACAAACCACAGCGGGGCCGGGGGGGATCGCTCCTCCCGCCACCGCAGCGCGCAGTTGGGGAGGTGCCGGGACACCCCTCTCGGGGGGGGCGGTGGTACAGGCGCGGGGCGGGGCGTGGCCAGCGGGGCGGGCGGGCGGCTTGGAAACCTCTGAGGCGGCGGGAGGGGGGGTGAGGAAGAGAGGGAAGCGGCGGCTCCAGCGGGGCGGGCCGGGGCATTCCCGGGAGCGGGAGGTTCTCGCTGAGCCCCGGGCCGGTGGGTCCCGCCGGCGGTTTGAGGGGCGAACGGGGCGCAGGCTCTTGCGGGAAGGGCGGAGGTGGCGCTGGCGGGACCTCGTGGCGCAACGGTAGCGCGTCTGACTCCAGATCAGAAGGCTGCGTGTTCGAATCACGTCGGGGTCACGGCGGCTCCTCGGGGGGCTCCCTTTTTCACCGCGCGCGGCAGATTTTGGGGGTACCCCTGGGTGGGACGGGATGGTCAGAGAGTGCTCCGAGCTCCGTCCAGCCCGGCCTTGGACACTCGCAGGGATGGGGCAGCCACAGCCTCTCTGGGCACCCTGTGCCAGGGCATCCCCACCCTCCCAGAGAAGAATTTTCTCCCTAATATCCCATTTAAACCAACCCTCTGCCAGTTTGAAGCCGTCCCCCTTGTCCTGTCAGTCCACACCCCTAAAATAATCTCTGTCCATCTTTCCTTCAGGCACCAGAAGGGGACAATTAAGACACCCTGAATCTTCTCTTCTCCGGGCTGAGCAATCCCGGCTGTCCCAGCAGAGCTGCTTCATCCCTCTGACCATCCTGCTTTCTCATCTGGACTGGCTCCAACAGCTCCCTGTGCTGGGACCCCAGTTCTGGAGGCAGCACAGTCCCCCCGTGCTCCAGATAAAACTTTTACAACCTCAGCGGCCCCTCTTCGCTTTCCCTCAGCCCTGCCCTCTGTTATTTTAACCTCTTTTTACGTTTGAAAGGAACAATAAAAGCAAACTCTGATCTGCAGGCCGGATAAAGCCTCTTAAGTGGTCATTAACTGTAGCTGCTTCAACCTGTTGAGCAGGTGATGGGTTTGTGCACACCTGAGCTCCTCCAGTCTTGATCTCTTCCCATTAACTGGCTTTTGTCTTGACTGGCTTTGCGTTTGAACTTCATTGCTTTGTAACAGCACAAAGGAACGACGCTTTGAGCCTCCCCTGACACAAAGGTTGTGATGAAAAACAGCACCAGACTAAAAAGAAACAGAAATTGAGTCTTTATTGCCCCTGCTTTCAGTGATAACAACTTTAATTAAGGAAAAAGGGTGGGTAAAAAAAAAAATAACCTCTTATCTGGAAGTATCCACAGGGATGTAAAATGTGTAGTAAATAAAGCTGTTTGTGAGGTGGCAGCGGGAAATGTTTAAACCTCACTCTGGAAGCCTGAATAAATATATATATTTATATGTATTCATATATTTATATGTATTCATATATTTTATGGAGTTTTTAGGTAGTGACTCTGTTACGAAGCTTGGTAAGCTCTAAACAGTTAGATGTTCACACCAGGCACGTGGTGGGATTTTAGGGTTGTCCTGTGCAGGGCCAGGAGTTGGATTTGATGGTCCTTAGAGGTGCTTTCCCACTCAGAATGTTCCATGATTGTATTTTGTGAAAGGGTGACACAGTGGGACAGAAATCAAAGGTACTGTGTACTGTGGTTTGTTTATTTGGTTTTTTTTTTTAATTATTTATGTTTCTTTAGTCTCCCCAGAGCAAAACTAAATGTAATGTGTATTAATATGAAGGTTGGACGTGATGATCTTGGAGTTCTTTTCCAACCTTAATGATTCTATGAATGGCAAGAAGTAATATTAAAGGTAAATATTGAGAGCTAAAAAGTAATATTAAAGGCAAACAGGGATTATGGGGGGGATCTCCTGGATCCACGGGGGCTGTTCCCACTGTGATCTGTGGGGGGCAGTGCCCATCTTCCTTCCTCCCAGATTTTGTGGGCTGATAAACAGAGGTCCCTGGAGCAGAGCTTCGCCTCTGGGATGTGGGATCACCTTCCAGCCTCTCCCGGGGCTTCCTTGGGACGCTGAGAAATCCGATGGGAAAACGGCCAGTGTTTGTGGAGGCCCTAACGGAGGGAGTGCTGATGGCAAAGGGGCTCTGCTTACCTAAAACCTCATTTTCTGAAGCAGTTTCAGCTGAGTGTTTGCTGGTGCTGCTTGTCTGAACCCGTGCCTGGTGTCCCGTGAAGAAACAAACCCAAAGAACATCTGGGTATCACCGAGGTAATTCCATTTTATCCCGTCCCACTTGCTCTACTTTCCAGCAGAGAGTAAGGAAAGAGTATTATTCCAGAAGAAAAAAAAAAATCCCCAAAAAAGACATGAAAGAGCATTTTAATTTCCCCCCCCCTGCCCCCTAACGGAGGTGGCAAATGTTCCAATCAAAAGCAGGTCACCAGAGAGCAAGGCATGAAGGAGCAGCTGTTGCATCCAGTCATGCACGATATTCCCGTGCCAGGAGTGATTCATTTGGGCTGGGTAATATATATGGAAATGTGCTGCTGGAAATAACCTATTGTGCTCACCCGGGCCCTGACAGGAGCTGGGCTGGGCATTGGGGGTTCTGGAAGTGCCTTTTCCTGGCTTGGATGTGTCAAATTAAACACCAGCACCAAAAAAAAAACCACCTTGGAGTTAAGGAGCATTACTGGGCTGCATTAATCTCTGGGTATGTTTGCCTTTTTTAGGCTGACGTGGCTGAATGCAGCACCTTCAGCTCTGAGAAGCATCCCCTAAATGAAGGCTCTGGCAGGGAGCTGGATGGAGAGAAGAGGATGAAATCCTGCAGCAGGAGCAGTCTGGATGAACAGATAAAGGAGGAAGAAGAAGAAAGGGAATGAAGTAGGTGGACCATTGCAGAGCTCTTGCAGTATATTCTGAAAAACATCTGAGCTGAAAGGGGTTTTGACTTTTTTTTTTTTTTTTTTTTTAACTCAAGCAGAACATTCCGTGTTTTAATCTTCCCAAAAGCCTTTTGGGGAGTTCCTCAGCACGGAAAGCCGGTTTGCCCCCACCTCTTCTTTATTGTCACGTCCTTTTGAAGTTCTCTTCAAAGGTGAAGCCCAGCTTCCCATTTACTCTGCAGCCCGTAATGAACATCCAGCTCTTTGTTTAAGCAATTAGCTTGGTGGGGGTGATTTCTGGGGCTGTTTAAAAAATAAAAAAATTTTAAAAATAAAAATTTCCTGAATCCTGAGCGGTTTGGACATGTTTTGAAAAAACACTGAGCCAACAGCTGTGCAGTGGACTAATCTGACAGTACAGCAGCTGTCATAACAAAAGCAGAGCTGCTTCAAACACAGCTTCTTTGTTGGGTGATTGCAAGTGATTTAAAGGAAAAGGTTATTTACTGCTCCTCCCGTGTGGGGCTGGCTCAGGGGCTGTTCTCTGTGATCCCCCTGCAGATGAATGGGCTCTTAACCACTTCTTTACTCCACTTCAGAGACTCAGGTGGTTTGGGGACCTGAATTTCCTTTGGATGCTTTGCTGCTGGCTTTGCCCCCAGGCCCCCTGTGTTTTCTGGAATCCTCAGGCTGAGGTGCCTGCCCCGGTTCTGGGTTGGTGGCAGATCATTTCAGCACACTCACACCCCACATCTGTAATCACCAAGTGCTCAGGGAACCCATAGGAGGATAATTAAGCAATACCACTTGTAAAGATGGCCTGAACTGGGGCTGTTTTAAAGTATCAAATTATGCAACCTGGTGTAGATATTTCAGGTTAATTCCCTCATATTTTAAGGCCCTTTCCCCCCCACCACTTTTTTCTCATTCAGACAGAAGTGCTGGAGTAACCTTTGAAACAAAAGACTTCAAAGTGACAGCAGCCTGTGCCTCTGGCTATACTGAAGTAAGTAATCTACTAAAGCATGAATATTTTATGTCTCTACAGCTAAATGAAGGAAATTACAAGTTGATATAAACTGATGTTCTTTGTATTAGCTCATGACAAATGCAGCAATTACCCCCAATCAGTTAATTACAGCATCTTTCTGTGGCCTGCCTTCCACTTCCATGAGCTTTCTCTTGTAAGAGGGCTGAGTTAAACTCACAGTTCCTTTGTGCTGCTGCTTGGGAGAAGGGCTTTGTTTATGCTGTTGGAAATGATACCAGTTTTAACACCACAGTGACAGCCACTGGTGTTCCCTCGGTCCCATCTTGCTGCTTTCCCTCTGGTTCATGCCCTTCACACCTGGAGATGCCTGAGGATCCTCTGGAGCTCCCCCTTTGTCTGGCTGACAGGACAGCAGCTCAATAACCCGCTCTGAGAGTGCATTAAAGTGAGATATTAACAATTAGGGGGGTTGGAGGGTCGCTGCTTTAATGGATGAACTTCAGGTGGGTTGTAAATGTGGGTGGCCGAGTTAGAATTCACTGCTGAGCTGCTGAAAGCGGAACAGTCTCCACAGACTCCTCCGAGTGCCTTTCAGCTTTGAGCTCCTTTGTGAGAGCAGCTTTGTGAAAATACACTCCCATTCTTCTGAGTTTTGCAGGGACAGAAGAGGGAACCCTGGGAGACTGTCTCCTGCTGCTGTTAGAAAATCATGAAAGTGGTTTTTTTTTTTCCTTGCAAGGGAACACAGGAATCAAAGGGGACCCTGACCTGTGGTCGTGGTTCAGCTCAAGGCTGACCAGGCAAGTGCTCTGCTGGTGCTGCTTTGCTGTCAGTCCTCCTGCAGCAGATCCCAGACGTGCCATTCCTGGTCATTCCTTGCCAGCTGCATCCCAGACACCTTTCCCTGGGAACAGGAGGTGTCCAGGGTGAGAGCTGAGCAGCGCTGGGTTAGCCGGGAGCAGGTAGTGACATTTAGATTGTTTGGAAGAAATTCCCCTTGGGAGTGTGGGGAGGGACTGGGATGGAATTCCCAGAGAAGCTGTGGCTGCCCCATCCCTGGAAGTGTCCCAGGCCAGGCTGGACAGGGCTTGGAGCAACCTGGGCTGGTGGAAGGTGTCCCTGCCCATGGCAGGGAGTGGCACTGGATGAGCTTTAAGGTCCCTTCCAACCCAAACCATTCCATGATTCCATGATCCCTCTGTGCCAGCTGCAAAAAAAAAAAGTGGGACCTGGGTCAGTCTCAAAGGATTATTCAAACAGAAGCCTGGCTTTGTGCTTCTTGGGTTTATTTTTTTCATTCTGCCCTAGTTGCAAGATTCCTCTTGAACTTAATGGTAGCATTCTATGTCTAAAATATAACTTCATCAAAGGTGATGATGCTTCAAACTGAGCTAGAAGATCTTACTCTAAAGCAGAGACTGAAGTGAGATGGTTTGCTCTGGAATTTGCTTTTTATCCAGGAGGTAAAAACCCCACCTGTATTTCCATTCTTGCCATGAAACTCAGCTGGGTGGGATTTAAGGAGCACATCACTCACACATGTCGAGGGGACATGTGGCATCTCTGGATCTGAAGGACAATCACTTGTCACTCCTCTGTGGTGGCAGCAGAGAAAATACTTGGGCTGGCTGCCGTTTTTTGGTGTTTTTCCTCTTTTTTTATTTCCTGAACTGTCTCACTTCTCTTTGCCCCCGGCCCCTTTTTGCCAGCTCTGCTCAGTTCCCACCTTGGAAGTGTGGATGGAATTACTGATGGACTGACATCCCGTTACCACCCACCTCCTCAAAGGGTTTTGTTTTCAAGCTGCTTTTTTGTGGTTTTTTTTTTCCCTTTTCTTTTCTTTTTAAAGCACAAAATGCTCCAACATTTAACCCCCAAAGGAAAGGAAACCAACTTTCTCTGCCATTTAAATGAAAAGTTTTTTTTCATAGAAAATCTGCATTCTACGCTGATTTCCTTTAACCCACATCCTCTTAAAATCCACTTTTTACACAGCCTGCTCCTGTGTCTTATCTCTGCCTGGCCCATGAATGATTAACCCTCCTGCCTCTGAGACCTGGAGGACAAAATGCTGCTGTTCAAAGTCCCTCCCCTCGCTCAGACGCTCACCCAGCTCTTTCCCAGAGGCACTTTGGACCCTGCTCTGGGATGTGCTGACCTCAGGAGGGCAGATGGGAACACGTGGGAGCTGCAGGTTGTGATCCCGGCAAACTGCTCTATTCGGTGCTCTGGGAACCCCTGGGTGGGGCTCAGCTGCTCCCAGCCCTGCTGTGTCTCTAAACCCTCCTCCTGGGAGCAAACAGCTCTTTTCCAGCCGGGTATAAACATGGAATTATCCTCTATTTTTACCAAAAGCACACAAAGCGAGGCAGCTTCGAGCTCGTTCTGCTGCGTGGGGCTGGTTTGGAACGTTCCTGTGCACAAGAGTGGGTTGATGTGGGTGGTTTTTTTTGGTTTTTTTTGCCCAGCACTGTTCTTTTCCAAGTGCCTGCCTGTCTGGAGGGATGTCTCAGTGTGTTTGTCAAATTGGGCACACACAGCTGGTGGACTTCTCCCCTGTGGTTAAAGATTCTGATGGAGGGATCCCGGAGCTCTTGGCTCCTGTCTGCTCGTGTTAAGGTGACTCCCTGCACTGCAACCAGCTCAGGGCCCTGCAGGAGGGGAGAATTAATTAATTAACTAGTTAATTAACTGTCAGCTCGCCAAATCTCTGGGAGGAATGACAGGGGAGGATGGATGGTGTCTCCAGCACCAGCTCTGCCTGCTGGCACAGAGAGGTGCCTGGGCAGGCCGTGGTTTTCCTCTTTATCTGCAGCCACCTCATCTCTTCTAAAAGAAAAGCCTCTTGCTGGGCTGCTGGGGGTGATTTTTTTGCTGCTTTTTTTCCCTCCCCTCTGTTTTCTCTACCTGCTGGCCTGCTCAGTGCAGCTCACCCCACCTTCCCCAGGCAGGAGGGGCTTTGTGCTCCTTGGCTTGAGCTGGCTCAGCCTGAAGTGAGGTGAGAAAGAGGTAAATAAAAACCTTACTGTGGGGCTTATTTGTGTAATTTGCAGGAATTCCTGCAACTCTCCTGCTGTTCCCATGGAAACAGATGTTGGGTTGCAGGAAAGTGCTGTAGCTTTTCAGGACTGTTATTTCCCCCCAACCCCTTTAACAGTGACACCTCTTTTATAATTTTTAAGCAGCCTGGAAAAAAAAAACAAAACAAAACAAAAAAACCTGTTCTGCTTTTTGAGGCACAAATGTGGAGTGTGAGCTCCATCATTCCCAGACAGACAGTTATTTTCCAGCCTGTTGGCTCTGACTCATCCACCAGGCAGGTTGGAACACCTGGGGTTTTGTGGCCAAGCTGCTTTTGTCACATTTAAACTCACTTTCTTCCCCTGTCTTTGCCTCGTTTCTCTTGTCTCTCTCAGGTGCTGGCTGGTGCAGATTGTTCATCCCTGAAGGTGAGGCTCCATCCACCCACCCATCCAGGAAATTATGGTGGCCAGTGAAAAGTCATTTTTGGAGTTTCTTTGTTGTTTTGTTTTTAAATGGGGTGAATCAAATGTTGTAAAGGTGAAAAAGAGGGTTTGTTTTAATGAGTTATTAGGAGCAGGTGTGGAGGGCTGTGAGGATGAGGAGGATCAAGGCAGAGCTCTACCAGGGCTGTGTCCCACCATCCCTGCTCCCTGTTTGATCATAATCCATCGGGTTTTTCCTTCCATCCAGAGGCCCCTGGTGGATCTGAAAACCCCACTCAGCGAGTGCTGTGCACACAGGATGAGGAGCCCAACCAAGCAGGTGAGACAGGAAGACAAAAAGCAGGCAGGAAAATTAAAAGAAGAATGTAAAAACCCAAACCCAACACCCCCCCCCCCAAAAAAAACCACAAACCCACAAAAATTAAATCTCAACCAACCAAAAACCCACCTGGGGCCAAACCCGGGATCCTGAGCCAAGGTGCTGTTTTTTGGCCCCCAGCCCAGAGAGCAGGAGCTCCAAAACGCTTCCCAGCACTGACCTGCTGCTGTGTTTCGGGAGGGGGTTTGTAAACCACAGTTTATCCCCGGCTCTACAGTGGAACCTGCTGTGCAATTGGGATTCCAGGGACAATCTGCAATCTGTCACAGCCCCTGGGCCACCACCAGCCCCAGAGGTCACCCCGTGCCAGGGCAGCTTTGAGCTGGTGCCCAGCACAGGAGCCCCGTGGTGGAACGTGGGGCTGGGGAGGAGCTGCCAGCCCTGGGGCTTGGACATCAGCTCATCCCAGAATATTTAGGCTGGAAAAGACCCCCAAGGCTGTCGAGCCCACCCTGTGGCCGATCCCCACCGTGACACCCAGCCTGGAGCTCTGAGTGCCACGGCCAGTCCTGCCTTGGACACCTCACAGCCCTTCCCATGAAGAAATTCCTCCTGGAAATCACACCTGCCTGCATCCTGCAGCCCCCTTCCCTTTCCCTACCCCAGAACACTGGGCTTTCTGCACCCAGTGGTTTGAGAAGACCTTTTATGATGTATTTTATCAAACTTGTGGATTGTAGCAGGAGCTCAGAGCTTGCAGGAAGCTTTGGTTCAGAGCTCCTGGACCCCTCTGTAACCACTCTGCTAAATAATAATAACAACTAACAGATATTAAGTGTCCAAGGATGCCAGGCTGCCAATACCCCCCCTGTTAAAATCCAGTTTGATGGCATCTTCTAAAAAATTCCTTCAGAAGAGAACTCTCAGTGTAATGAAGATCTTCGTGTTCGATTGGCCCCTCGCTGGAGGGGTTTATTTAAACACAAATTGAATCCTCCCACTGGAAAGCTAAACAGGAGATTAAAATAGCTGCCAGGGGATGGGAATTTGCTTTATGAAGAGTCATTTGACTCAACTTCTTGTTGATTTCCCTGTTTTTCTTATTTTATGGCTGGAGATGCTTTGGAGGAGTTGCCTCTCCCAACCAGCAGGAGCTGCTGGCAGGAATGAACTTTGTCTGGGTCACTGGGAGGCTCAACTTTAATCCCCCTCCAGTCACCCCTGGCACTGTCACTGCTCCAGGGAAGTGGCCACTGGAGAATGGAGTCCCTCTGATGTGGAGACAAGGCTTTCCCAGCTCTGGAAGTTGCAGGTTCGAGGGGTGATGGTGCTCAGAACTCTGTGCCAGTGGGCAAAGCTGCACAGGCAGAATTCCCTGGCGGTGCCAAGGACGATCAGAGCTCCAGAAAACCCCTGCAAGGGAGTTCCTGAAGGATTAAAAACATCTAAACATCTGCAGGGCTGAACTACCACTGGATCTGTGGGGAGGAGCTGGGAAGTTTGAGGGAAGGTGCACTGAAAGGATCTTTTTTCTTTTCTTTTTTTTTTTCTCTTTCAGCTTTTGCTTAGAAATGACTTTCCTGCAAATTTATTCTGCGACACTTGCAGGAGAAGAACGTGCTTTTAACAGGTTTGTGGAGAAGCAGGTCAGGGAAGTGAGAGCCTGGCATGACTGACAGGCCCAAGGGTCCTACATCCCACCAGTGCCTCTGCACCCTCCCAGCTCCTCATGGGATGGCTGGAGCTGCAGGGAGCAGAGATTTGGGGCCCTTGTTTCCCCCCACATTGGGGTGGCACATCCATGGGATGGGCTCTTCCCTCCCTGAGCCCTGGGCACCATCCCCTGGCAGCCAGGCTGGGCAGAGCCCCCTCCCAGGGGCAGCTCCAGCTTTCCAGCTCCTGCTCTCCCTTTCCCAGGAGTTTTGTTTGCGCTGCCAGGAGGGCGGGGGGAAGGGGGGGGAAGAGCCGCCGTTCCAGAACATCCTGTGCCATAAAAGCCATAAAAGGCTTAAGTATGGACTGGTGATGCTGGCAGCCCGCACGCACACGCGGCCGCTGCTCCGGGGAGGAGAGCAGATGGGGAAACACCCTCCTCCGTCACCGTCCTACATCTTCCAGAGGGGGAAGATCAGCGCCGCTGGATTTATGGTGATTTTCCTTTTTTCCCCCTCCCACGCAGCGTTCCCAGCCCCGGCTGCTCCCGGCGCCGCTCGCGTCCCTGGAGGCGACTGGAAGGGGATGCTCGGAGGGCACCGGGGCTTTTTGGGGTGAAGTTGCGGCGGGTTCCTGGCCATGCTCCGCCTGGACTCGGTTTCCCCGGAGCTGTGAGTACATCTGCTCTTCCCCGGCAGGAGGGAGGGAGGGAGGTCAGTGGGTTATTTGGGAGGGGATGCCTTGGAAGGGAGCAGCTTCCTCCCGGTGTCAGGCTTTTAAAGAGCAACCAGAATCAAAGCTTTGAGTTTGTGTTCCCCCCCCCCCCCAAAAAAAAGTGGGTTAAAAAGGATGGGTTTCCCCTTACTTTTTGTGCAGAAGGGTGGGGTTTACCCTTACTTCTTATTTATTTCTTTTTTATTTTCTTCTTCCCCTCAGCAGCCCCCAAATCCCGTATTTTCAGCCTTTCTCCTCCCAGCAGCACCTAAATCCCATATTTTCAGCCTTTCTCCCAGCCCAGGCCCTGGCAGGGATGGGGGTGTGCCGTGACCTCCCCCCAGCTGTGATCTGGCCCAGGCTCTTCCCATTCCCTCCGCAGGGATGCAGCCGAAATAACGGAGTGACAGGAGCTTTGGAAACACAACCAGAGAGGCTGCAGGGCTTGAAAAAGCCCTTCTGTGGCTGTGGCTCGTGCAAAAGAGAAGCTGTTTGTGCCGAGGCAGCCTTGGGGGGTGAGGGGAGGGATGCAGGATGCTGCTGGGACTCAGGGGGGGAAGGGGATCCCTTCGGTCCTGCAGGTGGGTCTTGATAAAATTATAGCTCTTGAGCTGCACTGAGATGTGAGCAAATCTTACCTTGTTCTGCTGATTCTTCAGCCCACACAAGGGGTTAAAAAAACCACACAAGGCTGGTCTGGGCTCTTTCTCTGTGCTATAAAAATGAAACAGCTTCTCTGCCCGTCCCGTGGCTTGAAAATGCTCCTGAAATGCTGGTGCTGTGGAATATTCCCTTCCACAGCCTCCCTGCCCTGCTCCTGTCAGCAGCTGCAGGAAATTGCCCTTGGCACGAGGAGGGTGGAAATGATCTCAGGGGACTGGGATGGGGGGAAGGGGTGAAGCTGAGGGGAGGGGGGGAGGTCAGATCGGTCACAGCCTCCAAACTGCATCTGCAGAGGATGCTCGGGACCAGGAGGAGCAAAACGAGCTGCTTGTGAGTGCTGCTGCTTTTTATTTGCTTGGTACAATTAATTATTTTCCAATCCTAATGCTTTTCCTCTTTGCTTTTGCCTCTGTTTTTTTTTATTTATTTTTTTTTCCTACCAGCTGGGTGATTTGCAGAGGGAGGCAGAGAACTAGTGGATTTTTGTTGTTGTTGTTGTTGTTTTTTCTGGGTAGCTGTTACTATGGCAAGGAAACTTGATTCAGAGAGAGGTCAGAAATACCAGGCTGAAAATTTCATGCATGTTCTGTTTCAAGCCTCAGCTGCCAGGGTTTGAGCAAGGGAGAAGGAAAAAGCACCCGAGTCCCTGGTTTTCAGAGGCTTTCCAGCCTTTTCTGCCCAAAGGTAAGGATTTATTTGCCAGCCCAGGCTTGGTGTCCTGTGACATCCTGGGGCTGTGTAACAGTCAGAGCTCGTGGAAAGGCTGCCTGTGCCTTGTGGTGCCACCAGAAATGGTGTTGGGCTGGGTCACCCAGCCCCTCCCTGCAGGTGACCCCGGGAGAAGTGGCTTTTGGAGGGGTTTTCCAAAGATGCCGGTCCCACTCAGAACCAGGAATGAGTGGTGAGGGTTTGGAGAGATCTGTGGAGGGTGCTGAGCTCTCTGGACTGTTGTACAATGGGAGTTTTGGGGTGCTGGGCCCCTCTGAAAATCTGTTTGTTGGCAGGGAAATGAGCTTTATCCCTGGAGGAGGAGGAGGGATTTCTGATTCCCTTTGGGGTGCTGAGTGGGAGGAACGTGGACTTGGATCTTCCTGGAGAACCTGCCCTGTGAATGTTATGTTTGCTGTGATACCAGGGAACCTCCAGCTGCAGGTGCCTTTGAGGATTTTGGGGAGATGTGGAGTCCCACCTCCACCTGCAGCAGCGCTCTGGGGGGGGAACTGAGCCCCAGGAGAGTGGGAATGGTGGTCCCAGGACAGCAGGAATGGTGGTCCCAGGACAGCAGGAATGGTGGTTCCAGGAGAGCAGGAATGGTGGTTCCAGGAGAGCAGGAATGGTGGTCCCAGGACAGCAGGAATGGTGGTCCCAGGACAGCAGGAATGGTGATCCCAGGACAGCGGGAATGGTGGTGCCAGGACAGCGGGAATGGTGGTGCCAGGAGAGCAGGAATGGTGGTGCCAGGAGAGCAGGAATGGTGGTGCCAGGACAGCAGGAATGGTGATCCCAGGAGAGCAGGAATGGTGGTCCCAAGACAGCAGGAATGGTGATCCCAGGAGAGCAGGAATGGTGGTTCCAGGACAGCGGGAATGGTGGTGCCAGGACAGTAGGAATGGTGGTCCCAGGACAGCCTGCCTGAGGCGTGCTGGGTGTCCTGGTCCCTCCCTGCCCCTCAGAGCAGGTGAGTGCTGGAGGAGCAGAGGACACTTCCCAGGGTCTGGTCCCCTCTCCAAACTGTGCATTGGATCCTGTGCCTGGAACAGCTCCAGGGAAGCACCCAAGTGTTGCTGTAAGTGGAATTGCACTGGGAAGAGAGTGAGGAGCAGGCAGGGCTGAGCTGGGCTGTGCCTGACCCCCCTTTCTGGCAGTGGGTGAAACTCCTGGAGATCTCCCCTCCGTGTTCCCCCTCCTGGCCTTGTACCACGGTCCTTGGGACAGAAATGGGTTGGTTCCCTGCCCTGAACCATCTCCTTTGAGCTGCCTTCCTGGAGCCTGTGCTCTATCATCTCCCCTGCTCTGGATCTGATGGAGCACAGGCAGCCAAGGCAGAGCTGGAACAGAGCTGCTCCCTCCCACCTGGTGCTGAGGAGCAGGAGCTGCGACTGCTGCAGGGCTTTGGGTGCTGTTCCCAGTGTGTTGCCCCTGTTCCTGCCTCTGTGGTGATGCCTGCCCCTGGAGCAGTGGGAATTGTGGCTGGAAGCTGCTGGGTGATGCTGAGTGTCGGGTTGTTTGCAGCCCCTTGTCCCTTGGGAATGACACCAGAGCCCTTTCCTGAAGCAGCAGTTTGATGGGTTCCTCTGTCCCTCTGGTGACTGGCTGTGCCTGTTTTAACTCAGCAAGGAGCACGTGGGCTGTGTTTGGGGTTGGCAGATGTGAGGTTCTGGACCCAGCTCCTGCTGGGAGTCCTGGCTCTGACCCATCCCCAGATCCGCTGGTGGAAATCTGGGATCGTGCAGCTGGAGTCAGTGGAGCTGATGGTTGGAGGGAGGAGATTTGGGCTCCAGCCTCGTGTGCCAGCCCTCTGGACTGAGGGAATTCCACACCTGGAGCAGCAAAGCTTCTGAATCCTGGGGAAAGGTGGGATCAGGAGGAAGGGGAAAGCAGCATCGAGCACCAGCATCTCTGCCCGTGGATCCCTTTGACACCAACCAGTGCTTGTGATAAACCACAAATTATGGCAGGTAATAAATACCACTGACCCAGGGGCTCTCCAGGATGAGCCCAGGGAAACCTGCAGGGTGAGGAATGGCTTTTCCTTGGAGGGACCATTGGGATGTCACAGCACAGGGAGCTCAGTCCTGCACACCAAGAGCCCTGAGCCCTTTTATGTGGGTGCTGGAGGGGCTCCCCTTGCCCAGCCAGGCTCCATATCCACTTGGAAAAGACCCTGGAGGGTTTGTAGGTACTTGCTGAGCTCTTAAAACAGGTATTTTTGTCCTGCAGGGGCAAGGGTTGGGTGCTGGGGTGGGCTCAGCCCCATCCCCGCCACCTCCTCTGGTAGAAAAGCAATTTCCCTTCCTTTTGATTTCAAAATGTCAATGCTTCCAATGAGTTTGGTATAATTAAGTGGCAGTTCCCTGTGCCTGGGAGAGGGAGGTGGCTGCAGTGCACTGAGGGGGGTGGTCAGCATGTTTTGACAGCGCTGACATCGCTTCCCAGGAGATGCAGGTGATGCTGGAGACGCAGAGACAGGGGACGTGGGCACAGCGACCTTGATTTTCTTTAAATAGCATGAAAAAGGAAGAGCAGGTTATTTGTATGCCAAGGCAGCTGAATGCAGGCACAGCTTTGCATTACAGCTGCTGAGGGCTCTGGAGATGCTGCTTGCCCTCCTGGGACCGCACCTGGGCTGAATTTCCAGGTCTTGGCTCTGAATTTCCAGGTCTTGACTCTGCTTGTTCCCACAAAGAACCCACCCAGCACTCCAGAGAAATCCTCAGCCACCTCCAAGTGCTTTGAGCCACGTTCTGTGTGCTGCTGTGTTGAAAAAGAATCTTCAGGCAGTTTTAGACAAGTGTTCTCGAGCTTTGGATAGTCCTTGATGACAGCAGAGGAATTGCCTGGCAGCAGCAGGTTCTGTGCCTGTCAGACATCTGAGTGGTGCTGCTTGTGTCTCATCCCAGCACTTGGGAGTTGAAGGAATTGAGGCACAGGGCAGGAAAAGGACTTCTGGATGTCTGAATGCGAATCTCTCCTGGGAACAGGAGCTGCCTCTGCTCCTTTTGCTTGATTTCCTTTGCCCACACTGGATTTGTCCGTGGAAATGCATGAATATTCACCTGGAAAGCAAATCCATTATTCATGAGAGCTGCTGCAAGTGCCAAGGCACAAATCCCAGAGCTGATCCCTTTGCTGTGGTGATGCTCCTGGAGAGGGGAGAGCTGGGGTCTGGGCTGGGGGAGGGTTGCCCCTTTCTCCTCAGGTTCTGGGAACATGGGAAGCGTGGCCTGATGTTCTGCTGCTGCTTTTTGTTGTTGCTTTGTGTTCCTTTGAGCTGCTGGGATGTGCCCCTGCCGGGTCCTGCTGCTGGAGGGTGACAGCCCAGGGAGGATTTATCACTTTATTAACCACATTCTTTATGCCATAAATAATATTTAGCGGACTGCTGAAATTTATCTGGGAGAATAAGTTAAAACAACCAGCCCTGCTTGCACTGATTGGTTTTCCTGCCGGCTCAGACTTGTAGGGGAAGGGATTTTTTTGGGTCTCAGTCCCGTTGTGAGACCTGTTTCACTGATGCTTTTAATTTTCTTTGTGGAGTCATAGAATCCCAGAGTGATTTGGGTTGGAAGGGACCTTAAAGGGACCTTCTCCCTTTCCATGGAGCCTCCCTGGTCCCTGCTGTGATCCCCAGGAAGGATCAGGATCATCCCCAGAGCTGGGGGGATGGCAGGAGGCTGGAGGTGGCTGTTGCTAAGCTACAGGCTGGGTCTGCTCTGGCTGTCAGGGCAGACCTGGCACTGCTGTGTGAGGGGTGACCCGTTCCTGGGTCAGGGAGTTCTGCTGACCCCCCTTGTTTGCTCCCTGCCACGGATTTTTGCACCCCAACCCCACATCCACCCTGGGCTGAGGGGCTGGTCCTGCTCTGGGTGTCAGCCAAGGAGAAAAGGACACGGGCCCAGGGGTGACCCTCTGCTCCAGGGGCTCCCAAACTGTGTCCTGCAGCAAAGCAGAGCCAGCCAGCCCCCCTCTGCTGCCAGGGAGGCCCTTCTCAGGGGCTTTAGTGGGACCTCAGCCGTGGGGAAATGTCTCAGGAGCCTGTGCATGGGGAGAAGAGGGAATGATGCTGAACCAGGAGCGTCCCTTTGTTGGCACCTTTGTTTTTGGCAGCTCCTGGCCCTGCCCTTCAGTCCCATCTCCAAATGTCTGAGCAGGCAGCACGTGCTGGGAGGTGCTGCTGTGCCTGCAAGGGCACAGAGGATTCTGGCTTCGCTGTAAGGGCAGTTGTTAAATAAACCCAATTACACGGTGAGGGTGGGGATGTTGAGAGCAAAGCCCCCCTCACTCCAGGCTGGGCAGGCGCGCCAGCGTTGCCTTTGTTCCTCTCTGCTTGCCCTCTCTCTGTCCTCCTGCACTAATTAAGCTCATCTGCATCCTGCTTAACGACGTCCAGAGAGGGGAGATGAAATAAAGACCGTGGTTTTCCAGCCAGAGCTTGTGCTTCTCGTCCCGGGGATCCCTCCCAGCTCCCGGCGGGTGGCACAGCCCTGGGCTGGGCTGGAGAGGTGGGAGCTGGGGCGGCTCCTCCCTGGGGTCTGCCCGGGGATGAACATGAGGAGGAATCGATGGGGTCGGAGGAGGAGGACGCAAGGAAAAGTTCCCCAGGAGGCAGGAAAACAGCCGGGGAAGGGAACAGTCGCTCGGGAGCCTCCAGGGTTTGAATGTCACTCGGGGGCGGGGATGCTCGGGAGGCAGGGTAACAAATACAGGAGAACAAACTGACTCCAACCTGCTCGCCTCGTTATTTTTATTTTTTCACCCATCCCCCCAACCCCCCCCCCCAGCCACCTCTTTTGTTTTGTTTTATTTTTAGGATCGGGCTCTGCCTGAGCTTCTGAGGCAGGTCTGGATCTGCAGGATCAGTGGAGATGGAATGAAAGGTACCTGTGGTGCTGCTCTGGAGGAAGGGGTGGCAGAGGGGCTGTGGGGAGGGAGGGATGCTCTGCTCCTGCTCTGCTCCCGGCTGCCAGGGCAGGGTGGTGTTTGCACTCCCTGTGTCTCTGGTTGCTTTTCCAGAAGGGCATTGAGGGGCTGGAGTGAGTTCAGGGAAGGGAAGGGTCTGGAGCACCAGGAGAGCTGAGGGAGCTGGGGGGACTCAGCCTGGAGAAAAGGAAGCTCAGGGAGGACCTTCTGGCTCTGCAATCCCTGACAGGAGGGGGGAGCTGGGGGGGGTCGACCTCTGCTCCCAGGGAACAGGGACAGGAGGAGAGGGAACGGCCTCAGGCTGTGCCAGGGCAGGGTCAGGTTGGACACCAGGAGGAATTTCTCCATGGAAAAGGTGGTCAGGCCTTGGAAGGGGCTGCTCAGGGAGGTTTGGAGTCCCCACCCCTGGAGGTGTCCAAGGAAGGACTGGCCATGGCACTCAGTGCTCTGGGCTGGGTGACAAGGTGGGGATGGGGCACAGGGTGGGCTCCATGACCTTGAAGGTCTTTTCCAGCCCCAGTGATCCCGTTGTCTCCGTGGTTCCCCTCTCTGTTCCGCAGCATAACCCTCACCATGGAGCTGGCCAACACCAAGGACTTCCAGTGGAAATCCCTGGCCCCGCTCCCGAGCCGCAGGGTCTACTCCACGCTGGTGGAGGCCGGGGGCCAGGTCTTCGCCATCGGGGGCTGCGACGACAGCGGTGTCCCCGTGGACTCCTTCGAGGTCTATTCCCCCGAGGCCGACCAGTGGACGCCCCTGCCCCCCATGCCCACGGCCCGGGCAGGGGTGGCCGTGGCCACCCTGGGCAAGAGGATCATGGTGGTGGGAGGGGTGGGGGCCAACCAGCTGCCCCTGAAGGTGGTGGAGATGTACAACGTCGACGAGGGCAGGTGGAAGAAGAGGAGCTCGCTGAGGGAGGCGGCCATGGGCATCTCGGTGACGGCCAAAGGCAAGGGGGGGAACCTGCCAGGGGGCTGGGGGGGTGGGGAGGGGTGGCACCAATTCACGGGGTGGCGGTCAAAGGTTGGGCTCGATGATCTTTTGGACTTTTCCAACCTATTTGATTTGATTTGGGCTTTTCCAACCTATTTGATTCCCTAATTGGTGCATCAGGCACTCTTCAAAGCTTCCTGGGCAATGGCACACAGGGTCACCTTGTTGTTCTCCTCCAAAACCTCTTCTGCGCTTCTAGAAGTTGAACCTCGTGTTTGTCACGTCCCACCTGCCAAAGGTGTTCTGTAGGAGGCTGAAAGCAGATAAACCAGGGGGGCTGCTCTGTGTGGTCAGCCCTGGAGCCACAAGGGCCAGGACTGTGTGAGTCCCTGGGGGGGGCGATTTTGGACAGGTCCAAGCTCCAGGATAACAAATCAAACTCCCTCAGGGTTTTGAGCCAGTTCTGGCCCTTGAGTGCTGCAGATGCTGGAAGAATAGGAAAGGTATTGCTGGCTGAAGGTCTCAGAGCCACAGAGCTTCAGTTTGAGGAGACATCTCTGATCCAAGCCCAGAAGCAGCCAAGGGAGAGTTATCTTCATGCACAGGACTCAAATCATTGTATGAGGAGGGGAAGCAGCTGGTTTTGTGAAGCTCCTCTGCAAGCCCTGGTTTAAATGCCCCGAGCTCTTTATCAGCCCAACTCATTTCTCAGTTTCCAAGGGAATCCGTGGAGCACTGACTTCCTCTGGTGTGCTCTGCCCTGCTTTGAAGAGCCTGGGGTGGGAGCTGTGCTCCCGAGGTCAGGCAGCTCCCGCCGTGCCCGGGATTAGGGATCTAATCTCCAGGCAGCTTCTTTGAAAGCTGCTCAGTTTGTTTGCTTAAGTGGCTTAAAAAAGCTACCGTCAAGGAATGCTTAAAAATAATGTTTACCATCCTGGAGATGATTTTCCAGTCTGAGAATAAGCTCTCCTGACTGATAAGGCAGGGTCAGTGTGGGGTGAGAGGCCAGGTGTGTTTTTGCAGGGCGGGGATTTCTGGTGCTTTGCTGTCATAATATTGGGATTTTTTTATTATTATTATTATTTTTTTTTTGCTTCTTGCCTTGTGCAGACTACAGGGTGTATGCAGCTGGTGGGATGGGAGCTGACCTGCGGCCACACAACTTCCTGCAGCACTATGACATGCTCAAGGACATCTGGGTGTCCCTGGCAGCCATGCCCACGCCCCGCTACGCTGCCACCTCCTTCCTCAGGGGCACCAAGATCTACGTGCTGGGTAAGGACCAGCCCTGCCTCCTCCTCCTCCTCCTTTGATCTGAGCAGCGAGGACCTCCCTGGAAGAGGCTTTTGGGGATGTTCTCCTCAGTCCTGCCCTGATTTCTCACTCACTCAGAAGCACCGGGGGGTTTTGAGGTGGGTTTGGGTTCACGGCTCCACGGGGAGCACCCACGAGAGCCCCTCCAGCACCCTGAGAGCTGCTGGTGCTGGGTGGGTGGGCTCCCCTGTCCCCCTCCCCACACTGCTGGAAGATGAGGGGACACTGGTCTTTGCCTGCTTGTTTTGCAGCCCCGTGACTGTGCTAAAAGCCCTTGCACTCAACTACATGCATAAAATACTTCAATAAATAAACACTTCTATGCATTTTATAGCAGCAGCAGCAGCTTCACAAAGGGACTGCCTTTGGCAGAGGAAAGACCTGTGTAGTTGGGCTGGAATAAGCCCTTTGCAGGGGATGATTTTCATGAGTTCTGCCTCGCAGGAATGGAAACCAAGGCAGAGGAACGCTGCTGTCAGCTCGCAGCCAAACGGCACGTCAGGATCAAAACACACAAGTCCTGATTTCTCAAACGGCCAGACAGCCCTGGTTTGCTTGAGGGGTGACCAGAAAAGAGCCTTTGATCTATTTTGCACTTTGCTGGCTGCTGGGGAACAGTTTGTGAGCCCAGGAGCCAGCACAGGCTCTGCCTTCAAAGGCGTCTGAGCTGAGAATAGCTGCATTCAGCTGAGCCTGACGGGTGGGGGGATAATGTGGATCTTTGGCAGTGGGAGCAGCAGCTGCTCCTGCTCTCCTGCTCTCAGGAGCTTGGCAGCAAGGCCAGGGCTCGCTGGATCTGAGCTCATCTGAATTGCAAAGGCTCCCCGAGCCTGATCCCTGCTCTGCTGTGAGTTTGTCTCGATTAAACTGGCGCATACCAAACACCAAACACCTCCCAGCGCCGGCGGCCGGGGGCCGGGGGGGTGATGTGCTGAGAAATGAAGGGTCTCTGTGGGGTGAACCTGCAGCTAAAGGAGAAGGGGGCACAAAGGTGAAGAATACCCTGGCTCAGCAGGTGGCCTGAGACCCCGGGAGGCTCCTGTGGTGCCTGCTCTGACCCCTCCTCTCCCGCTCTCGCAGGTGGAAGGCAGTCCAAGTACGCCGTCAACGCCTTCGAGGTCTTCGACACGGACACCAGGTCGTGGACCAAGTTCCCCAACATCCCCAACAAAAGGGCCTTCTCCAGCTTCGTGCCCACGGAGGACAAGCTGTTCAGCCTCGGGGGGCTGCGGCAGGGGCGGCTCTACAGGCAGCCCAAGTTCATGAGGACCGTGGACGTGTTTGACGTGGAGCAAGGTGGGGCTGTGTGGGGGCACTCGGGGCTGGGCTCGGGGCTCTGCTGTCCTTGCAGGGCACAGAGCTCTCATCTGCTCAGGCCTGGGGCTGCTGGTGCTTGAGCCCAGCCTAGAGGAAGACTTGCAGTCAGGATTAACAGTCAAAAGGGGAAGACCACGGTCCAGAGGTGGCTGGATTGAACAGCTGCCTCCTGAGCTGGTGAGGAGGGACCTGACCCCTTTCACGGGGTTTTATTACCCCAGGGTGCAGCAGCAAAACTGCACCCCCTGAGGCAAGAAGGTCAGAGAGGTTTTCCAGCAGTGGGTGCTCCCATAACACCCAGTGTGTGTCCTGTCCCTCCCAGGTGGCTGGATGAAGATGGAGCGCTCCTGCTACCTGAAGAAGAGGCGAGCAGACTTCGTGGCTGGGTACCTGAGAGGCAGAGTTGTCGTGGCTGGGGGACTGGGTGAGGCACTGGGGGTGCTGGGAACACTTTTAAGGCCGAGTGTGGGTCATGTGTTGCTGTTACAAAGAGGAGAGGCCCTGGCTGGCTGGAGGGAGCAGGGGAAACCAAGCCCAGAAGGGAATGGGGTGCAGAGCACCCAAGGGATGCTCCGTGGTTATTCCCAGGTAACCCAGTGCCTCGCTTTGTGCTTCCAGGAAACCAGCCAACTGTCCTGGAGTCTGCAGAGGCTTTCCACCCTGAGAAGAACAAGTGGGAGAGCCTCCCCCCCATGCCCACCCCTCGCTGTGCCTGCTCCAGCATCGTGGTGCGGGACTGCCTGCTGGCCGTGGGGGGGGTGAGCCAGGGCCTGAGCACGGCCGTGGAGGCCCTGTGCCTCTCGGATTCCTAGCTGGATCCCGAGCTGGATCCTGCCCAGAGCAGGACCTGCCCCTCAGTGGCCCCAGCAGTGGCACTGGTGGTGGTGCTGGCAGCTCCTGGGTCAGGTGAGTGCCACCCAAGCTGTCCTGGGAGCTTTGGAAGCTCAGCTCTGGAGCCACCACACAGAGCTGCTGGTCCTCTGCTGGGCACTGCTGTTGGAGCCCTGTGGAGGGACCCCTGCTTTGGCCAGGGGTCCCCTCCAGTCACCTCCAGAGCTCTGTGGGGGATTCAGCTGAAGGAACTTGCTGCCGTGTCTCCTGCCCGCAGGGAGGACTCAGGACATCTGGGAATTGTGTCCCTGCAGCCATCCTGACCCGCTTCCAAAAGGTTTGGAGGTGTTGGGACCGTCCAGACAGGTCAGTGGTGACTCGGGGAGGACTGTTGTGGCATTACCCTCTTTGAGCATCCCTGTGCTTCCCTGCACAGATCCCTTTGGCTGCAGCAAGGGAAACTCTGAGCCTGCAGCCAGATCGAGGGGATCGTTCCTTTGCCTTCATAGCAAGGCTTTTCCTGCAAACCTGTAGCATTTTCCTGGCACTGGGGCAGAGGGGCTGCCAGTGCTGCCTGAGGGATGAATGCCCAAGGGGCCATTCTGGCCCTTACTTTTGGCCCAGGACTGGCACAGATCCTGCCTTTGCTGGGCTTCATGCAGAGATGGCCTCAAGTCACAGCGTTCCAACCTGGTTTTAGCTACTTTAATGGTTTGGGATCTTCTCCTCAGCCCTGGGAGTTTTGGGGTTACAATTCCAGCTTGTAGCAGCTGCACCATTGAAACTGCCTTTGGAAAAGCCCCTGGAGGAGCCCGTGCTGTGCTCTGGGGCTGTGTCAGGGCTGTGACTGCGTGAAAATGTGAGCCCTAGACTGAAAAGGAGGAGAGGTGGGAGCCTGGGATCGTGGAATCACAGGATGCTCGGGGTTGAAAGGGACCTCAGAGGCCACGTCCTGCCGTGGGCATGGACACCTCCCACTAGCCCAGGTCGCTCCAGCCTGGGCTGGGCAGCTCTGTCCCCTTGCAAGGCGTCGCATCCCTCCCTGATCGCGGTCCCGGGGCGGGGCGGTCCCTGTGTCGCGGTGGCGTCACGCGGAGGGTGCGGGGGCTCTGCGGGGCCGCTCCCGCGGAGCAGCGAGGACACCGTGCGGTGGCCGCGGACACGGCGGGGCCGGGCATCGCTCCCGCCGCTTCCCGGGAGCGGGACAGGGTCCCGCCGGTCCTTCTCCAGGCTGGATCCCCCGCATCCCGAGTGCCGCGCAGCTGGTAGGGCAGGGAACAGGCACCGGCTCTGCTGCTCCCACCCTGCCCCTGAGCCGCACCCCGCCTGCCTGGCTGTGACAGCGCCTGTCAGAGGCTCACGGGCTGTTTGGGGTGGGAAAGGACCTTAAAGACCACCCAGTTCCACCCCCCTGCCGCGGGCAGGGTCACCTTCCACTGGGCCAGGTTGCTGTCCCTGTCCCCTGCCACGCTCCCACCTGTGATCCTGGTGTGTTCTTCGTTTAGGCACCGTGGTTTGGAGGGTGGATAAATGCAAACAGCTGATGGCAGGATGGAGGGTCAGACCACATCCCTGGGCGACTCAAGGGCTGCTGGGTCTGGCAGAGCTGAGGGAAGGTGCTCAGAGCACCCCTCTGCGTGTGCAGCCCTGGGGGTGCTGCCTCCCGACCCCAGAATGCTCACAAATCATCCCTTTGAACCACAAAAATCCGAGGAGGATGGAGGAGGCTCAGGGAGGGGACGAGGAGTCTTCTCCCGACCAAACCCGCGTCTCCCTGCACAGCAAATCTCTGCTTCAGCCGCCTCTGCACAGGGCCTGGCTGTTAATGAGGAGTTTTCCTTTGTCCTCAAGGAACCTTTCCCACACACAGCACGGCCTGGTGCTGCTCTGCTCTTGGTTTCTCGTTAGCCCCGAGCCCTGCTCAGCTCAGCAAGGCCGGGGCTCTGGGCTCGGCGCTGCTGTGCTTTGTTCAGCCGGAGCGAGGGGAGGAGGGATGTGCTGCCTTTGTCTGGCTGCAGCACAGCTGGAGGCTGAGCCTTTGCTTTCTCTCCCCAGACGGGCTGGAGAGAGTGACAGACAAAGCAGTGCCGTGGGAATAGAGCTGCTGTAAGACCTGATGAAGAGATGGCAGGGACCGGGAACGGGGCTGGGGGTGACAGTCGCGAATCAAAGCTGGGGATGTGCTGAGCATTCAGAGAGGGGGAAAAGAGGAGCTCTGAGCCCCCACGCAGGGAGAAGCAGATCCAGGTCAGCTGCCTGTGTAGTGAATCCCAAGCTCCCATCACCAAGCAGGATGCTGGTACATCCCTGGAACTGCTGAGTCCCTGGTAGCAGTGGGGAGGGAGGGCTTTCCCCCATGTTGGAACCAGTGTAGCGTGCAGAGGAGGGAGGGTGGCATTCCCCAGCTGTGGCACGAGCTGGAGGATTGAGAACCATCTGCACTGATGGCTCTCACAGCTGCACCTTCGTTCCTGCCCTTCTCTGGGCTGCTCCTGCCGCCGTGGGAAGCAGGAGCCTGCAGGAGATTTGTCCCAACCTGCTGCTCTTTGTCACACAAGGGCCGTGCCCGCCCTCTGGGTGAGGGGGGTGTGACCCTGGCCAGGGCTGGGGAGCAGGGAGGGGGATCAGGTGCTCCTGGCTGAGGGTGCAGGGGGTGGTTTGCGTTGTTTAAGCAGGTTTAAGGGGTTGGTTTGGGCTGAGCGGTGCTGGACGGGCTCCCAGAGCTCCGAACAGCAGATGGCATCCATGGGCTGGAGCTCAGGCTGGAGCAACACCTCCAACAGCCAGGCAGAGATGGACCACACTGCTGGGTGGCTCCAAAATCCCATTTTGGCCTTAGCTCTTGGTTACCAGCACAAGGATCCAGCAAAGAAATGGATGTGGAAAGAAAATGCATCTCCTCCAGCATCTTGTTCCCAGGCATCCCCTCTGATCCAAACACCTTCCAGCAGCTGAATTCTGCTCTGGGATCCAAATGGTCCTTAAAGCTGCTGCCCAGAGTCAGTCAGGGAAATGCCTTTGGGGTTGAATCCTGCTGCTGCAGCCCCCTGAGCTCTGCAGTGAACCCCTAAGGATTAGCCAGCTGCTGCAGAGGTTCTTTCCCTGGGTAAACTTTGCCTGTGGTCTCCTGCAGATGATGCTGAGTGCTTCCATGCTGGGAACTGGTGCACTTTGTGCCTGCAGGGATGAGGTGAAGCCTCAGCTGTGAGGTTGAGCCCAGTGATAGAACCATTGGAACGTGGCCTGTGATGGGAATTGCCAGTGGGGAGAGGGGAGCTTTGATGGCTGTGTGGGGCAGACAACCAGTGTTTGGGGTGAGGGGTGATGGCAGATCCTGCTTTTCCCTGGAATTTTCTGGCTGTTCAGCCTCGGGCAAGCACAGAGGTGCCCTGTGAGAGGGGGGCTGTGAGTCTGTGTGCACAGAGGGGGGAGTCCTGTGCGTTGGTGCAAAAGCAATGTGTGCAGCCCCCGGCCCTGTGCGTGTGTCCCTCGGGACCAGGGTCAAGTGTGGCAGCACAGGGGGGGCTGTCTGTGCATCCCAGACCAACAGCAATGTCTGTGCATCCCAGAGCAGCAGCTCCAGCTGCTCTGTGCTCCCAGGGCCCCAAGAGAATTCCCACCCAGCGAGCTCGGGGCTCTCCCAGCGCTGCACCCACGTTATGAGAGCACATACCTGCGAGCCACTGTCACCTCCAGCAGCTCCTGCTGCCTGAGCACCCCGTGACAAGCAGAGCTGCTCCCAGGGCTCTCCGGGAGGTATTTGCCTGGGTTCACACGTTACCCAGCTCAGTGGGTGGCAGACATGCACCTGTTGCACCGTCGGGGCTTGTGGGTTCCTCCCTGTTTTGCTCCCTGGGAGCTGCTGCCCTGGCTGGGGTTGGTCCTGCTCTCACGGGAGGTTTTGTGGCCTCCAGGCTCTTGCTGCCCTGGTTCTTTGGGCAGGTTTTTCCCTCAAAACAAGCTCAAACCGAACTGTGGTGTTTGTTCTTGAGGGACAGGGGGTTTGCTGAACTGCCCAGCTCCTCTCACGGCAGGAGGAGTTGGTTGGGCAACCTTAACCCATTTGGATGCCAATTCAGGACTGCATTTAAGGGGAGTGCTCAGACCTCAGCATGGAGGACCTGCTGATGCCAGAGCAGCTGAACCTTTCCTGTAAGCTGTGGTCGGTGCTGCAAGGGGAATACTTCAGAAATAAAGCAATCACATCTAAAATCGCTGTGTTTCAGCCCAGCTTCCTTTCCACAACACGCAATAAATCTGACCTGCTTTGGAGAATTGCTGTCAGCAACCTTCAGAATGGATTGGCAATTATCTGTGGTATCTTTCCTCTCTCCTTTTTTTTTAATGTATGTATTATCTCAGAGCTGCCCTGGCACGGGATCACGTTTCGGTACAGCGAGTGCTCTGAACGCTGTGCTGTGACATTCTTTGTCACTGAGCTCCGGTGGCTTTGTCACCCCCTTTCTCCTGCCCCTGGGAGGCTGCAGAAAGCTCTGGGCAGCTCCTGCTGCCCCAGTTAGCCCCCCTTAGTTCCACAGGACCCCGTGCCCACCCCCCTGGGTGCCCACCCTGCTCCCTGTGTGCCTTTATCCCTCACCCAGCTGAACTGCCGGGGTTTTCCAGTGACCTGCTGGGGCTCCACAAATCCCTGACTGGCCGTGGCCGTGTCCTCGCCTGAACTCCCGATGCTCCGAGTTTTCTGAGAGGCTTTTCAGCCCCAGCCCCCGTGGCTGCTCCCAGGGCCCTCCTGCCAAAATCCAGCTCTCATTGTCTCCGAGCAGCCTTTGTCTGCACAAACAGGAAACTGCCTCAGAACAACCTCCAGCAGGTCTGGTCGTGGAGCACAAATTACTCCTGGACCCTGCCATGGACCCGCGAGTCGTGGTTGTTGGGGACGGTGCTCTTTGGGGTCACTGCTGCCCTTTGGGGTCACTGCTGCTCTTTGGGGTCACTGCTGCCCTTTGGGGTCATCTCAGCCCTTGGTGGCCCAAGGGGACCCAGTGCAGTGTTGTGGGGGATGCTGTCATGGAGCTCCAGCCATGGATTTCTCTCTGGGTAGTTGGGAATAGAGCTCCTCTGTGCTGCAGTGGCACCAGGGAATACCAGGACACTGCCCCATCCCTGCCAGGTTCCCAACCCCTCAGCCCATGAATTTCTCTCTGGATAGCTGGGCATGGAGCTCCTCCCTGCTGCCAGAGGTGCAGTGGAACTGGAAGACACCAGGATATGTCCCTGCCATCCCCCCTGTCATGTCCCCAACCCTGCAGGGACACCAGGAGCGGAGTCACCCCCGGCTGCTCCCGCTGCCAGCAGACAAACCATTCCATCAGCATCCGCCGGTGCTGGAACGGATATGGAGTCACCACCCTGACACACAGACGCTTCCTGCCCCGAAAATAAAAGCTCCAGCCCTTTTTTGGGGGGAATTTTGCTTATTTTTTTTAATAAGTGCCTCAGTGTTTCTGCAGGCCCCCCGTGCTGGGACTGAAGAAGAAGATAAATTCATATTTTGAGGCGGCTGGTCCCTGGGTTCATCACAGTTTGGACTACAAGCTCATCAGTCTAGTAATCAAAGCAGGTGTGCCACTGATCCAGGGTGGATTGCTCTTATAGAACAGTGGGAAATGAGGTTTTGGGACCTTCTGGGACTGCTTCAGCTGCAGAGTGAGCAGGACACCAACCCTGTCACTCCTTGGTACAGTTTTTGCTCTTTCCCTCTGCTTGATGTGCTTCACTGCCCATCTTTCTCCTGGCAATATTCTGTTCAACTGTGATCCATCCCTGGCTGCAGCACGTCCCTTATCTCCTTCCTGCTCTCCTTGCCTACACTGGGAGACAGGGAGAGACCTGGGTGCAGGATGAAAACATGACCAGGCTACTGAGGTTTCGTATGGTGATCCCTAAAAATGGGCTCAGTGGGCACAAATTCTGCCCACTGAGTCAGTTTTGAGCTAAAAATGGATGTAAAAAATGAGGTTGGCTTTACCCAGAGCAGATGCATGTCCTGGAAGGATGGATGGGTGGGTGGATGGATGGATGGATGGAGGGTGGGGTGAGTTGAGCTGCAGGGGTGGGATGCAGAGGTGGCCTCTGCTGTGCTCATTAGCTGTGATAGGCCATAAATTACTTTTCAAAGGGCTCCTATTGGTACTAATGTGTTTCCCTTCTTCTGCTGATGGATGGGGCACCCGGTGGGGAGGATCAGAGCAGACTCAGTGTTTTCGGAGGGGGAATGGGTTTCACACCTGCCTGAGCACTACCCAGCAGCAGGTGAGGAATGCTGGAGCTTGGGAGGCCACTAACGAGGGGTGATCATTAAACTTTTTGTTGTCTTTGGCATTTTAATGCCTTCATCTCCCCGTGGGGGGTCTCACCAGGGTAAGCAAATCTTCTGGGCGAAGTTTATTCCCCTACCAGTCCACAACTGGGGGTGAACAGAGCCCGAGTCCAAAGGCTGAGCTTCTGACCAGGAGGTGGATGTTTTTAGCACTGAAAGAATGCTCTGGGGTTTGTTTGAAAACAATAAATAAACGAACACAAAGCCAGGAGCCTGCGAGTAAACGGAGCTACCGAGGAGCCCAGCTCTGAGCAGGTCTCCCTGACGTGGAGCCAAATTCCTTTCCTGTCAGTTTTAGTGGGCACTCATGGAGGCAGCGGGAGAAGCCCTGTTTGGGATTCCTAAGGCTGAAGCTGGGGGAGGAAGGGGGAATTTCCGTGGATTTCCCCACTGCTGAGAAAGTGCTGCTACAATAGAGGATCCTTATCAGTGGATTCCAGTGGGCTTAGATCCTCTCCCTTGGCATTTCCATCAAAATGGGCTTCCTGAGCCGGTCTGGAACAAACACATACCTAAGCCTTCCTATCAGCACAACACAGAACATCGCAGAGAAGAATTTATCTGCTCGAAGCAGAAAGAGAAGCTGCTTCCTTTCATTCCAGAGGAAAGCCTCTGGAAAGCATCCTTATAAATCAGCAGGAGCATTAAACACGTGCTTGAAGCTAAACGTGAGCTCAAGTGCTTTCTTGGAGGGGTGGGCTGGACCAGGAGCGGTCCCACAGCTGGTGACAGCCTTGCTGGGTGAGCTGTCTGTGTCTGGGAGACACCAACACACGGCACTTACCTCTTGGGCAAGTGAAATCGCTTTGCTGATTGCAAGAAGGTGGGTTTGGGCCTTCCCTCCTCGGCTCTTCTGCAATCCCGGGGCTGTGCCTGAACAGGATCCCATCTGTTTACCTTGACTTTGAAATTCCAGCAGTTTAGTTCATCCCATCTGGGCCGTGTTTATCTCCCCGATGGGCTCCTGTTATGGCACAGTAAATAATTCACTGTCACAACTGCTGCAGCCCTGGGTCCTCTTCGGGTGTCCCAGGCTAATTTTAAAGCAGGGAGAGAGGTTTTCCCATGGTGTTCAGCCTGGGGGAGGTTTGGGGTGGAAAGGATGCAGGACCAGCCTGAGGCTGCAAGTGGTTCACAGCGTGAGGAATGGAGGTGACACATGGCCACTGGCAATAAAACCCAGTGACAGTGGCAGGGTAAGGTACCTGTGTGCCCAAACTGCATCAAAATGGTATTTGAGGTGTGTGGAGCAGCACTGAGACAGATCACAGCCAGGGATGAGCAGTTTGGTGCGTGACTGTGTCCGTGACCTGGACTCCTTCCTGTCCCTGTTACAGCTCCCCTGCAGGGCAGATGTCCTGAACAGGTCATTTTATGACCTCAGTCCTTCAAAGGCCAGATTGCAAGGCCAGCCAGGGGACTGTGACACCCGTCTGGGTCTCATCCTGACACAGAGATGCTGAGAGCGGGCACTGGGACATCACACAGCTCCGTCCTGGGTCACCCCTGTGCTCAGGGGCACAAAGCCTGCCGAGAGAGGGACCTGTGCTGGATTAGATCATCCCTGGCAGACATTTAGGACCCCCCCTCCTGCTCTGCCTCACCCTGAGCTGCTGGAAGCGGTGGGAAAATGCAGGTCTGAGTGGGGGGATGAGTAATGCCTCAGCTATCTCCTCCTCCGATCAATACGGTGTGTCCTCGCACATGCCAGAGCCCGGCAGGAGCTTTTGTTTTGGCTGCTTCGGGAAATAATTGCATTCTTTTAATATCTCAAAACAAAGATTTACCACAGGGGCAGACAGACCACACGGGAAGGTGCTGCTGAGTTAGAAGCAGGAAGGTCCGTGAGGAGCCTTTGCGTGGGAGCCTCAGACGTTTCACTGCAGACGTTTCACCCCCCCTCAGGCTCCTCTGCTCCCTCCCTGCGTGTCCAGGAGGGCAAAACGTGGTCCTGTGGTGAGCATGGAAAGGCTGTGCTTGCCCAGGCCTCTCCTCTCCGTGATTTTGCCCCTAATACATGGGTTTTTTTCCCAGTGTCCTGGGCACACTGTGGCTCTTGGAGCAAACCGTGTCTGTGTGTCTTGGCTGCACTTCTGAGTCCCTCTGTCCCTGCTTCTCTCCTGGTGGGAGACGTTCAGGTGCTTTGCTCCATATTATGGAATTACAGAATGGATTAAAAGGGACATTAAAGGCTGTCTTGTTCCACCCCCTCTCCATGGGCAGGGACTCCTTCCACTAGCCCAGATTGCTCCAAGCCCCGTCCAACCTGGCCTTGGACACTTCCAGAGATGGGACAGCCACAGCTTTCTCTGGGAAACCTGTGCCAGGGCCTCCCCACCCTCCCAGGGAACAATTTCTTCCCAATATCCCATCTAACCCTGCCCTGTCTCAGTGTGACACCATTCCCCCTTCTCCCATCACTTTAGGTCCTTGTCCAAAGCCCCTCTCCAGCCCTGACCCTCCCAAGCGCTCCGATCCCACTCCTCTTCCCACCCTTTGGGCTCAAGTCTTCCTGAATCATCCCCTGGAAAATCCTCAACTTCCCCCCCTGCCTACGGGACCCCCCCGTGCCCCCCTTTGTGCCCTCTCTCTCCCTTGTCCCTGGATTTTCTCTGCGCGCCCTCCCCGTGCCCGCACTTTGTGCATTCCCCGCTCCGTGGATCGCCCCTCTCCACCCTTGCCCGCGTGTTCCCCGCTCCCAGCGCTGCCCGGGGGGTCTCCCCGCATCCCGGGCCCCCTCCCCCGGTACCGGCCCCGGGCGGGGCTGCCGCGGCGGCCGCCAATGAGCACGGGGGGGCGCGGCCCGGGAGCCGCCGCATTTATCGGCCGGGACGGGCCGGGACGAGCCGGGCGGCGGCGGAGCCGGGGCTGGGATCG